AGTCATCAAAGATGATTCGTCAACCTATTCCATTGAATTCTAGACTTTATAAAAAGATCTAAAAATTATCCAAGTCGTCCATGTACAAGAAGAGCTTTTGAGAGTATGGACATTGCATGATAATTCTTTCAAATATAGAATTCCGACAATGATGTCATAAAGTTGAAACTTTGTCTTTCCTATTTTTAATTTCATTTTTGCTTAAATAAGTGATAGTTTTTGTTATTTCAAATTTTAAAATTCTACTTCATTAAATTATGATTCTTCTAATTTCTACATATCTTAATTTGATCAATTATATTGTATGTAATCTGTTACGAAAGAATCATGAGGTGGACTCTATGTTTGTCTCAATTTTTTTCATCAAAGGGATGGTATATCTTGATGTCTGCACCTAAATTTTTCTTTTTTGTAAATTTTTAAATAAATTTTATTTTTATTGTTTAATTTAAAAATCATAAAAACTTATATTCTTTGAGAAAATTTTTGAATATTATCAGATATTATCTTACATTCCTATGATTGACTTGAAAATTTCCTACTATTTTTTGAACCTTGTGGTGAATTATAATTGATTTATATTTTCTGAAATATTTTTAAAATTTTGAAAACTAGTATTTTATAGCTTCATAAATTTTAAATTTACATGATTTACTATACGATGATTAAGTCACGTTAGTATAATAATTTTGAACTCTAGAAGTCTGATAACTCATGAAATATATTACTAAGGGATACCAACCTCAATTGCCACACACTACTATTACACAAGTGCATGTGAAGCTCATGTCAATATGTGTACCCATTAACATGTGTACCCCAACACTTCTATATAAGTGTCCCTTGCACTCTCTATTGATGCCTTTGGTTTTAACATTTATATTAGAAATTTTATTTATGAATGATATATTAAATTTATTAAATCATAAACATTTATTTTATGATAGTTTACATCATAAGTAAATATCCTTAAGAAATATTCAAATTATATATATAGATACTGATGTTGTTCAATCTAACCTATGACTAACAACAAATCTTAAGAGTTACACACTTAGGATATTTTTCATGTCAAAATAATAGAGTCACACTACTAAAATAGAGTAACATGTGCCAACATGTATGACAAAGCCACATTACTAGAAATGTGAAGTTACCTTTAAAATTCCGGATGCAAGTTATGTAAAGATGGAAAAAATGACGACTAGAACATTTTAATATTATAAAGACAGACAAATGCAAGATTTAAAATGAAAATATTTACATTGACATAATGAAAAGCTAATCTTATTCAAAAATATGGAGCAACATCAAATGACCAATGATTCAAATAGACTCAAACTCTAGTCATACTCAGCGATTGAGTTGCATTTGTTCGCATGAAGCCCTCATGGAAGTGAAAAACTCTTCACCACATATCTTGTATGAGAAAACATCAGGGTCTTATGTGAAGAAAATAATTGAGTAAGACATCTAATAACATGCAAATTCTGCACATTAATTATTGCATAATTTAGATAATCAGTATCTAATTTGATACAAAATAACATTTACTCATACATAAAAGAGGGGGAAAAGCATAATTTATGATCAATATTCTAAATACATGTCTAATTTTGTGAATTTTTCATATTTTCTATAACATGTAAATTTATTTATATGCTTCACATGTATAATAATTATTAAAAAAATCATTTCAGGTCTAAATTATGATCAAAGTATTTTCCTGATTTTTAGATTTTTTTGGATTTTTCTGAGTATTTTAAGATTCATTTTAAGTTTAAATGAATATTTTAAATGAAGGAACAAGTGAAAATCAATGTCATTCACTATGGACAATAACATATCAGCAAAATATATAGAGATAACAACAAAATTAACAATATTATTTAAACTTGACCTTGAAATTAACAATGTATCTTAATAAATTAACAATTTTCAAGACAAAATATCAAGGACAATGAATGTGAAGATAACAAGCTTCAAATGAAAGAATAACCAAAGGTCACTAGCATGTTGGTAGAGCAATAAGAAAACATTTGAATTCATGTGATCATTTTTCAAGTGATGAAAATACAAAAAGATGCTGGAGAATTGAAGGAAATTACAAAGAATAAGATAACTCTAAACGAAAAAATATCTCTTTGTCAAAGTAAAGTTGATGTCCATTTCATATTAGAGCAAAAAGCTACATCAAATATCTCATTTTATGGTGATGATTTAAGTCAACACTTGCTTCAAAGGCTAACTCTCTCCTTTGGGCTGGTATCAAGATGGTAAGTTGAGAGAGGCTTGGGTTAAGGCACATGGTGTTAAGAGCTTGTTAGTGTCCTATGAAGGGTGTAGTCCCAAATAAAACTAGTGTGTGCTGACTAAATCACACAATTTTGAGAGACTTATTGTGCCCTAAATGTTATAATCTTTGTAGAGATTGGACTTGTGTGATTGGTCTGATGATCCCAAGAAATCAACATGAATTTTCAATAGAAAATAGTGAACTCTAGTATGAAAAATTCTCTAAGACTAGATGTAGTCTAAAGAATGGTGAGCCAATCTAAAAACTTTGTCCTTAATGGTGATGAGAGAGTCAAGAGGAAACCCACATAGAGAGAGAAACCATTTTAAATAAATTAGTACACATAGTAAAGAAGTTGTGTAAGAGTTCATGCTAACATATGCACTCATAAAAAAATAAAAGAATGGAGCATAAACCATAAGAAATCAATTCATCCCCCCTTACCCTCTTTATATTTCACTTGGCCTCATTGAACCCTTCAGCCTAAAAATTGAAATTTCCTGTATGGGTGAGGAAAGAATTTTATCAACAACATAGTCCTTCTCTATCAAACACACCTCTCAGCAAACCACACATCCATGAAAAAGTAGACAAGGGAAGAGGCATCAGCAAATCTATTCATGGTCATTATATTCCATGTTTTGGTCAAGAATACAATCTGCCCTCATGTGATTGGCCACACTCACATCACTGAGGCAGATTGGAAGCAATCATTGCTTACAACAACTTTTTTTTAATCTAAGTATGGCTCCTACAAACTTCAGATGCCCATGTTTAGTGATGAAAATCCAAAAGGATGGGTTTCTTAAACTGAGCTATATTTGTTGTGTCCATCAATTGACAAGCACTAAGAAACTAACCACAACTAGAATGAGACTCAAAGGAAAGATTGTAGTACAGTATAAATAGATGACAAGGCAAGAAACTGTCAAAGAAGATTTTCAGCACCAAGTATTGGAGTGTTTTAGTGATGACTAATTGTTGTTAATTTTGTCAATACTTCATGAATATCAAATGATAGGGTTTCATGATGAAATATTGTGAAATTTTTCAGCTCATAGATATAATAATTGATGAATTTCTTGAGCCAATCCTCAAAAATCAGTTTCTCAATAGATTAAAAAGAGATGTTTAAGATGAAGCATGTCTCCTAGAAGCTAACTTTGATACTAATATGATGGGACCCCTAACTCAAAGTGAGAGCTCTCGAATTTCAATGAAGAGAGAAATTATGAAATGATAAGGGAAAGAAAGAGGACTTTAGTTTTGACAAACATAAAGAACCTACACTTGTGATAACAAGAGAAGGGCCAAGGTAGACCCTGAAAAAGGAATTCCTCAAATACAATCACCACTTCAAGAGGGCAGATCTTTAGGGGTTCTCATCAAAAACTTCCCACACTTTTCCACCCCTCTCCCCCGTCTTTTAGAAACCCAACTCTTCTTATAAGAAGTATTCAACTGTGAAATATCCCAATGGTTGGTTGTTCTTTTCTCATAATATAATTGGTTGATGGTTCCTCGACGATGATTGACCTCCACTGAAGTATTATCTGTTGAGTTTTTCAGGGGTGACTGGAGCTCATGAGGATTACATCAATGTTGAGCCACACTATACCATGCTGAACCTGCTGAACTGAATGTATGTACATCCACATGGACAATCGCCCATTCTTTTATGCGAACAATAAGGCTCTGTGCCCAAAACTAAGGTCCAAGAGTTGAGGGCATGAAAGATGGAGCCTTATGGGAGAAACCAAGGCTTCAGAACACCTCTTATGGGATAAGAGGGAGGGACAACCGTTGGCTTAAGAACCCAAGGGAGAAAGAGAGCGCCGCCAACACTGGCCAACGCTAGAATCCGTGGAGGGAGATGAAATTTCCAGGGAAGGAAAGAAAACTTCGATGCTTCAAGTCTTGAATTCTAATTAGAGTATTTGTATAAATATGTTTTATAAATGAAGAAAATGTAACTTTATCATATCCATGGGGTTTGGAAGGGAAAACCATTCTCTGGGCGGCTGGGCGAACGACGGCAGCTCGGTGGCGACGGCAAGGGCTGTGCACAGGTGGGTGGCCAAGGGTTCGCCGGACCGTGGGCAGCCATGATGCCAACGCCGGCTGCCCACTGATTTCACGTTTCACCTCTTCCATTTCCTTTGGATTCCCTCCCGCCTCTCCCTTCTACCCTTTTTCTCGGTGAACCAGAGACGAATCTGACGTTTCTCCCGAAGACTCATCTCGTTCAAGTTGGCGGATTCCCACTCGATTCGTACCCCTGCCTTTATTTTTTTTCCCTAAGGTCTCCGCATTTGTTCGAGGTAAACCTTGGTTTATTTAGTCGGTGAACAGTGAGACAATCTGCAAGCTATTAGGGCAGTTTTTTCTTTGATAAGGTCCTGATTTTAACTTCTGCGGTCTCCTCTTTGTCCCTGACCGAGCTCCTAAGTTCATATCCTCCTTTTACGTATCCTTCTGATCAACAGCTGTTTGAGGAAACGCTTCAACGAATATCAGCTCGTTCGACGCCTTTATGTCTCACATAAATTTTCCGAAGATTTAGCGAATTACTGATGGAAATCTAAGCCTCCTTAGGATTTCCAAAGTGGGCTAAGATTTCTTTGTTATACCCATGTAAATCCTTAAGTCTGCCTTTCTGTGTTTAATTGCAGATAAAAGCGCTGCTGAATGCATATCAAAGCATATGGAGTGTGTGGTACAAGGAATCATTGAAACGCAGGTATGATTATTATCTTAAATGGTTGATATTATAGACACGCAGACCAATTTTTTCGTTTCTCTATTTGAAAGTATCTTCGCGATAAGATAATTTCATCAAGAGCCAATAAAAAATGTGCACAGTGGATCATTCTCATCAGGACTCTGATGGCCGACACTTTCTGATTTCGCATTTCCTAACTCTGCTTCCCATTATCTTATGGCCCCCATCACCTGATCTCCAGTGTCAGTTTTGTTCCCAGTGGAGCTGAAAAATAGTCACTCCACGAGTTCATATATTCTCAGTCGCAAGTTAAAGACTAGATCTTTGTGAGCTGATATTTTCATGCGTCCTTTCATCTAAAGAAACTGTCATTCATTAGTTCTTGAAAGTTATCGTGGGTCAGCTTGGTTCTTCACCAAATCCGGAAGCAATGTTGTCTCCTCTCACCATTCATAAGCTCTGTAGTTTGAGATATGCGTGTGGCTTGTATGGTCTCCTGGAGAAAGACCAAGCCTCAACAATACAACATCTTTTCTCTGCCCATGGGGAAGATATCCTCGAGGTTTCATCATTGGATAATTCATATTAATTCATATTAATGCTTGTTTATGAATTATGTAGTAATTTCCCGCATCTGTGTTTGGAAGAAATATTATATCGGTACATTAAAATATCTGTGGAGACCCAAAAAGAAATTTTAGTTTCTTCATCCGCAGGAACCTTTATCTTCACGCATCTTTGCAAAAATGCTGAAGTTAGTTTTTCATTGCCAAAGTTATTTTTTGGTCCGAAAATGCTAGAGATCTTTGTGATGTTGCATGTATCTTCCCCAGGCTTTGAATGCCTAGATAATCTGGGCAAAAAACTTATCTTGCCATGGTATATGGTATGTACACAAGAATCCAGAGGGACTATCAGATTCCACCCACTCCCTATTTAACAAGAATAAATGTTTATCTTCTCGTTTATGATACTTTTAGGCTAATTTTTAGCTTTTTTTGCACTACTAACCTTTGTGCTCAAGAATTCAGGGTGACCATCAGAAACTTCCTCACACTTCCTATTTTAACAAATTATGATTTTATTTTCTCATTTATGATATTTTAGGCTGTTTTTTTTTCTCCTATTGTAAGAATCCAGACTGTGTAATGTTCCTTATGATTCCTTTTTAACGAAAATTGGTTTTTATCTTTTCATTTGTGATATTTCATGCTCATTTTATTATATACATAAACAACCTTGATGATGATGTGGGTTTATCATTGTTCATCATTTCGTTCCCAAGAACCCTGAGTGACCATTAGAAGCTTTTATTTTCTCATTAATGATATTTTAGGCTATTTTTATTTTCTTGGCCCTAATAACCTTGAACGTTTCCTTTTTATTCCTAAGCATTTTCTTACGAGCTCCCAATCCAACATAAATGGATGTTTATCGTCCCATTTATAATATTTCAGGCATAGTTTTATTCTTCTCGCAGCATGTTGAGGCCCTAGAGATTCTTCTTCAAGGACTATCTGGTGTCCGAAAGGAGCGCTTCAGGATCCATGAGTTATGCCTAAAGAGTGGTCCGAACCTCGGTGAGTTATCATTCATGCTGCCCACATCATGCTTCCCTGATTGACCTCAGCTCATCCTAGAAACCACGCCCTCATTTTCCAGGTGTCGTCTCGTCTGAACTGAGGATAATGTGCGACTTAGAACACCCCACACCGGCTTGGTAGGCCCTTCCCTTCTGCCACGAGTAGATCGATCCAGTACCAAAATTCCTTATTGCTGGTCAAATTACTATCTTTATCAAACTTACCATTTGGGTTTTTTATAAAAAAAAAATTATAGGACTGTTCGTCATGTGGGTGGCGCCATGAGGGGCTCCGGCGCAGAGCAGCTGTCAGTCATGGTGCGGACAATGGTGGAGAGCAAGGCCAGCAAGAACATACTGAGGTTCTTCTGCTTGCTGGGCTACAGGCTAGACCACGAGCTGCTGAAGGTTGGCTCCACCTTCCGGTTCCAACGGGGAGTGAGGATCACTGTCTCTGTGACCTCAGTCAACAAGGTCCCGAGGCTCCATGCCACCGAAGAGGCTGTGCCAGTGACTCCTGGGATCCAGCTGGTCGAAGTCACCGCCCCCGCTGCTGGTGACAACTACAATGAAGTTGCCGGCGCCATTTCATCCTTCTGTGAATTCCTCGCTCCGTAAGCCCCCTACGGTTTTCTCATTCTACTTGGGCATGTGGATCCAAGATCTCATTTTGGAGATGATCTTGGTGTTGATTGCAGGCTGGTTCATCTCTCAAAACCAGGCGTTTCGACAGGGATTGTTCCCACCGCTGCGGCTGCTGCTGCCTCTCTAATGTCAAACAAGAGCCTGTAGAGGACCCAAATGCCCGCGAGGAGAAGAATTGTCTGCCTACTTTAGAGAGACTGGTCTTATCTGTTTTACTCTGATTGTTTGCCTTTGTCTGCCTGCTGGATGGATCCTCCAGGGTTTTCTAACATGGGGCCCATATAAGAGAGAGAGAGAGAGAGAGAGGCCACCATGTGGAGATAAAAGAAGAAATGGGTTACCCATCTGTAACTGAGGTCTGGTTTGGATGTGGGTCGGGCCGGATTTGGACGAGTAGATTTATGGCATTTACTGGGACGTTGACGATCAGGATTTTAAAAAATGGATCTTTCAGCAGGACTGATCTTATTATTTTATACCCAGAAACAAGAGTCTTCGATGATCCCACATCAACCCAAACTGGGATTGACGTTCAATCAATTTCCAGAAGATGTGGAAGGCCAAAAAAGTTCACTCCAAAAACGCCAAAAGAGGGAAAATGTGAGACGCCAGAATGGAGTCATGAAGGTGGCCACCTGAAGCTCTCTCTCTCTCTCTCTCTCTCTCTCTCTCTCTCTCTCTCTCTCTCTCCATCTCCCTCTCTACATACAAAGAGCCATATTCTGGAAAAGTCAGGCAAGGATTCTTCCAGAAAACCATCCCTATGTGCAGTAATGCAGATTTAAATTAATGACTGAACCCTAGAAGAAGAACACCCAGATTCACAATTGCCACAAGGAGATTAATTACTGACTAGACCCGGCATCAGATACGGCCTGAAATATTTACTGAAAAACAATAGAAATTGATGGGCTAGAATACCCGTTACATGGTCAGCAAGGGAATATCACCGGAGAAGATGCATCACTGCAGTACTTCAGTAGATCCTCAGGCTGAGATCTGGGTACCCGGCTTTGCCTTTGTGCTTTCCAAATAGCTCTTCAAGGGCCGCAATGAATTGCTGATGAATGACATCCACCTGCAATGGGCGGCACAGTCAGTAAATGAATGACTTCTCTCGCAAACGAAGGAAACGGATTCTCGATTCCGGATGAATGAGGGGAGGGGGATGATTGGGGTTGGGCGTTTCTCTGACCTCTTCCACAGATGGCTGAGGGCTCTTTTCAACCAGAATGGGCCTTCCGACCACCACATGCATGGGACGCTGGAAAGGAATGGGTGTTCTGAAATGAAAACAGAAAAAACAGAATCACCAAAAAGATAGAGGCAAACTCTGGATAGTTTTCTTTTTCTCCTTGCGGAGAGTGTAATGGACTGATTCCAGTGATTGAAGAAGAAGAAGAAGAAGAAGAAGAAGAAGAAGAAGAGGAAGTCATACCCGTAGATGCCCCAGAATACTGTTGGATAGAACCTTATCACCCTAGCAATTTGCAAGAACAGCTTCCCACTGGGCTTCCACCACTTGTACACTTTACTCTGCACAAGGAAGAGGGGGAGAAAAGAAGAAAAACTGGGTCATCTGGTTACATATTAAGATTAATGATGGATACTAAGCAAAAAACTGCTGAATGATGGACACCCAAAAGAACAACAGCTCCACTTCACGAGAATGAGAAAGGGGGAATGTATTGGCTCATGAGAAACAACAAAAATCAAATAAGATGATTTGTGTTGATGAAGAAAACGGTACGGCGTAGTCGTTCAGCCAATTTATGCTGGAATTTATGATGCGATAAATCCAGAGTATCCCCTAGGTATGTCGAACAGTTCTACGTGCCGAAACAGAAGTGGTTTGCCCACACCAGTCAAAACGATGACTCTACCGAAACGCTAATCCAGGAAACAAGAAATGTTTAACCAACTGGCAGGGTTCGGATGAAACCCAGCTGCACCAGATCAGTCCGTTCTCGAATATAGTTATCCTCATCCATGATCTGCAGTAATCTACTCAAGCACCAAGCAAGCAGGCATGAGAATGCCAAAATCCGGGTTGCTAATCAGACTGGTATATGGAGACGCAAGGTTCAAACGAAACGTCCCGTAGTGAAAAGAAATGAAAGAACAGAAAGACAGATATGTCGTTGTGACACAGAAATGGTATGTAAACCATCAAGTAAAGATAATTATCAGAGCAACCAGGTCGCCAGACAGATCTGTCGTACCCAAGAAACCTTGGACTTCCCAAAAACTGAAGTTTGTTTTGTCGAAGAAGATTATAATGTTTTTGGAATTTATCAAAAAAACTAATGGCCAAGGTGAAGGAAAGCAATGACACTAAGATGCAAAAATTCATACGATAAAAATGGCCGATATAGCTTTTCTTCATAAGAAGTGTACCTGGCCAAAGCAGAAAACTGGAACAATAGGACGGCCCAGCTCAATAGCTATGCGAACAAACCCCTTTCTGTTTCTGAGAAAGACGACCTACAGCACAGAAAGTAATGCAAAGGTCAGCAGGTTGTCCGAGCGATTTTTATAGTGATCCAATGTAGTCGATCAGATGTGAAATCATCATGGGTTTTTATTGGCTCAGTTAAGGTGACGATGAGAAGCAAATAGAAATTTCTGAGGGAATCTCAAGGAGAACAACTCAGATGCGCTTCCATTCCGCATAATATTTGCATACCCATCTTGACCGTTTCACAGATAACATCGCGGCATAAGAGACAATGAAGAAAATATAATTTATACCTCCGAATCATGCTCCATCAGAGTCACCTCCTGGACCCCACCGGGGATAATGATGCAACTGTATCCAGCAGTCAGGTACGAATAGAAGCTCTTCCTTGACGCTGGAATAAGCCCCATCCATGTCCATATGTGCCTAAGAAAAGGCGTGTAGAAAACCTAACCCATTGCAGGAGAAAAAATCTACATCTACATCAGAGAAAGAGATGGGTGCATTCTGCGTAAATAAATTAACCAAACTCCAGCTGTCCACCGGGTGCGAGAAAGAGAGCCATACCGCACTGCTTGCAAGGGCCTTGACCTTGGGCAACGGCATAAAACCGGTATTACTCGCGAGAGCGCACAAGCCAATAGGTAGAACCGAGTGTGGCTCATAACCAAATACTGTAATCAGCACATTCCAGCACGCATTGTTCGGAGATAATTAGACACGATGTTGTGCCAAGATCCAACAAAATGCACAGATAAATAAACACTGATACAAGGAAAATCACCGTAAGCTTCGTTAGGATCGAAAGCGGAAATATCCTCCACATGAAGAGTCACTGGGAAATAGCCACTCGCATATTTGCATATATATCTGTCGTTCCGTCAACAGGCAGAAGAAAATTTTATAAAGTAACGCAGAAAACGGAAAAGGGAGAAAGTATAACGGTTTCAACAGAAGAGATGAACGAGGAGAGTACGAAAAGCGTGCCTCGACAGGTTCTTCCCCCAGTCGCTCTTATCGTTGAGCGGGATCGTCATTAAGATCAGCAGCACCACGAAAACTCTGAACAGCTCCGCCAACGACCATCAAATGTCAGCAAAGCCATAAACAGAGCTACGGATTCGAACACCGGAAAACAGACGAAAAGGGAATGATGCGCACCCGATGGCGATGCGAGAGGGGAAGAGGAGGAGCGCCGCCAGAACCAGCGCGACGTTGAAGTGGATAGACCCGAGCCAGATGGCGAGCGCAACCGTCGTACGGACGGCGGAGTACGCCGTCCCCCGGAATACGGACGGCTCCGCCGCCACGGCACCGCCATTGCCACCCCCGCCGCCGCCCTGCACCTTCCCCTCTCCCATGGCTACTGGATAGAGACCAGGAGGAGGTCCAGAGATTGAAGATGAAGACGGTAACAGCCGGCACCTTCCCTCGGATTTATCAATGGCACCGTCCGACGTGTTGTAAGGAGAGAGAAGAACTTACACGGAATTCGAAATAGCTCCTTCCTAATTTATTTATTTAAAAAAAAAAATGTCACCAAGCTGGTTCGTTCCTCGGGCCTATCGAACTTTGGATCACACGTGCGTCCAAGGAGCGAGAGACCCATCGGTGGGTCCCACCGGTGCGAACCACAACGCTGCGCATATTTTTTCGCAGTCAACTAGGGTCACCGAACAACAGACCCTCGGATTAGGAGCGTCGAGTGGACCAACCCTCGGAGTGACAACAGCATTATGTGCTTCCCGTGGAACGATCCACCCTCGTCATGGTTCAAACCACATCTATTTCAAATATCATGACTAATTCTGTAAAATATAAATAGTTCTGTAGCTCTAATATTATTATTCTTAAATGATTTGTTGGCTTAGGTAAGATAACGGGGGGTTTCATAATTTTAGAATACTAAAAAAAAATTAGAAAAATATAAGCGGCCTGTAGTTCCCATTTTATATATTAAAATTAAATATTTCGACTAACTTTAGAAAAATATAAGCATTGTTTAGTTCCCATTTATTAATCTTAAATAATTCAACTAACTTTAGAAAAATAGAAGCATTATGTAGTTTCCATTTGCCACTCTTAAATAATTCATATAATTTTAGAAAAATATAAGCACTATGTAGTTCTCATTTATTGCTTTTAAATAATTCAATTAATTTTTTTTAAAATATAAGTAGTTCATAGTTCCCATATTATATATTATTCTTAAATAATTCAACTAACTTGAGAAACATATAAATGTTATGTAGTTCGCATATTATATTACTCTTAAATCATTCAACCATAATTTGTTGGCTCATGTAAGATAGCATGGGGGTTCATAATCAGATATTACAACTAACTTTGGAAAAATATAAGCAGTAATTTCCATATTATTAATTCAAAAAAGACCATAATTTGTCAACTCATGTCACATAGTTGGGAAGTTCCTAACCTAGGCAAGTCAACAAGTTTGACCTACAAAGTAATACAGATACATATTTACAAGGCTTTGGATACAACAAATTATAGCTTTGATCTCACCATGCACCTCACAAAGAGAGAGAGAGAGAGAGAGAGAGAGAGAGAGAGAGAGGGTTGACTTAAATTTTGGAGAAAGTGATGGGTATAGGTTGAAATGAAATTTTAGAATTAAAAAAAAGCAAAAGTTTTTATCTCTTAAAAAACATCAATTATGTGATACTATTGTAAAATAAAAATATTAATTTATGGTGGATGTATTTATATAAATAAAAGCATAATCTTCACACCAAGAATATACTAAATGAAAAATATCTAAGACATGCCAAAGACCTTTTTTTTTGGTACAAAATCATAGGAGTAGAGTAGTGAGAAAAGCAAGTCAATGATGATAGTTTGTTTTTTGTACCATAGTAGAAATAGAATAATGAAGGCAAAGATATCCTCCACACAAAGAGTCATTGAGAAATAGCATGTTGAGATCCTAGCCACTAGCCTCCATCCATGTGGCAAGAGAATGGCTGGAATACAGTCAGACCACCCCAACTTTCATTTGGTGGGTCAAATCAGTAATAGATGTCCAAATCCAATTCAAGCTCGGATAAGTGGTTGGCTTGAAATTAACAAATAAAGGTTAAGGGGCAGATAGGAGGGTAAAGGCCTTACGGCCTCAAGAGGACAGTCGTAATGTTTGCTTATGAATAAGGATCAAGACCTTTAAAAAGACCAAAGATGGAAGAAGCTAGGCATCAGGTATTTCCAAACTTTTTGGGTGGAGAGAGGAGAGTGGCTATCTTGAATCAGCCAAGTGAGGGTTCTTGAGTGGCTCCCTCACCTATTTTATTATTTTTCTTCTTGTTTTGCTTATGTCACCCCCTCTATTACCTCCCATGTTATTTCTTGTGTTACAATGCCCTCTAGCCTTGAGAGTATTCTAGTCAATCTAGAGCCTTGTAATCTCTACTCACAATGAGTAGAACAAGAATTTACCTTTTTCATCTTATTCCCTTCATTTCTTCAGATCTTAGTTGGGGTATCCATTACCTTAATATTAGAGCCACATGAGTCCACATGGGGCCTAAACCAGTCGATCCCAAGTTAGAGAGTTTGGAGAAAGATCTAAAGGCAATCAAACTACTCACTGTAGAGTAAGTAGAACATTTGTGAGAATTGAAGAGGGAGCAGCTAGCACTCAAACACCAACTTGGGGCCAAAGTAGACAATCGAAGAATCAAGCCAGCGACCCATAGTCCATCCAACCACCATCAACAACATGAATTTCCAGAGTAATCTCAATTGAAAGAAATCAGATTGCAATACTGACCAGATCTTCTAATATTCATGAGCAAGGACCCGAAGAGTGGATAGTCCAAGCATAACTCTAGTATTCCACCTATAGCGTGGCAACAACAAATATCAGCATGCAGAACTCTATTTCTACTTGATTTGTGTTTGTTGGGGCATTGACATCATCCTTACATCCATGCCTTTATTCTTTTTTTTCATAAATTTTAAATATAAAAACTTCTATTCTTTATGAAAATTGTTGAAATAATACTCAATATTGTATTACATCCTTGTGATTGACCTAGAACTTTTTTACTATTTTTGATTTTTTTTTATTTAATTATAATTAACTTATTTGTTATCAAATATTTCTAAATATCTAAAAATTACTATGTTCTAGTTTTATGAGTTTTAAATGTATGTGATTTATTATACAATGATTAAGTCACATCAATCATCTTGATGTTAGTAACTAAAAAAATATTAATATATTTTTTCTTCATAATTTAGTCTAAAAACTATTAAAAATTATATTCTTTGAGAAAAATTCTAAAATTTTATTTCATATTATCTTACATTCTTATGATTGGCCTAAAAACATTACTATTTATAGAGATTTTTATCAAATTATAAATGATATATTTGTGTTAAAATATTTTTGAAAATTGTAAATATTAATTTTTTCTAATTTAAATAATTGTAAATTCATGTGATTTATTATACAAAGAGTAAACCACATCACCTAATCTTTGGCCTATGTTGGATGAGGAATTGTCGAAAGATTAAAATAAATTTCAATATGTGGACCCTCTCTTTCCAAGTTAGAACTGAACAAGTCACATCACAAGTAGAAGTAACAAAACCTAGTAATTCCTTCACTCTTCAATCAATAATCGTCACATTCAATAGGAAGAATTTGATGTCAAATTTTCATGTTGTCTCCATCTAATAGAGAAGTGAAGCCCTTGTTGTTGGCAGCAACCTTACAGCAACACTTTTCAATAGTTTTTGCAAACCTTAAGAGATTTCCTCCTAGTTATAGCTTGATTACAAGATATTATTAGAGCTAATGTCAAATCAGTACACACTAGGCCATTTTGATACTCACATTATCGAACAAATGAGCTAGGGAAATAGGTTATTCTCCTTAAGCATAGTCTAACATTCTCAATGCCTATTTTCGAGCATGACACTCCTCATCAAGGACAGGTTGTGATGATTCTACATAGATTACCTTGCGATCAATGAGGTCACTATCTCTAACTGATTTTCCATTCTCGATGTCAAAGAATTGATGAATGAACTACATGGAGCTTAGGTCTTCTTGAAGCTAAACTTATGGTCCAAATATCATCAAATTTGAGTATGTCCAAAGGACATCTCGAATATAACATTTTGAAAGCACAAAAGTTATTATGAGTCTCTAATAATGTTCTTTGGCCTCTCCAACACTCTGCCACCTTCTAGGTGATGATTAGTTGCATCTTCAACAACACGTTGATATCTTGTGTTAATCTTTTTTTATGACATTCTTATTTACAACCCAGCACAATATAACACTTCAGACATTTACTCTAAGTTTTTTAGATTTTACAAAAGAATTATTTTTACGTTAATCCAAAAAAGTACATATTTAAACAATCTAAAATTACTTGAGTCAATGGATCTCTAATGATAGATGAATTATATCTTCCATGACATGTTGAAATGTTGTGTTAATCTTTTTTTATAACATTCTTATTTACAATCAAGCATAGTGGAGCACCTTAAACATCTACCTCAAGTTTTTTAGATTTTACAAGATAACTATTTTCATGTAATCCACTAAAGTGCACATTTAGACAATCTAGGTTTTCTTACTTGGGTCACTAGATCTCCAATGATAGAGTCATGATAGATCAAGACAAGGTGCTAGCATTCTAGAAGTGGCCAACTCCCTCATGCTTCCAAGAACTTCATGGGTTTTAGGGCTTATGTGTTACTATCGATGCTTCATCAAATACTATAGTATCAAGGCCTAAACCCTCATGCAATAGCTCAATAAGGATGCATTTGAGTGGAATGCAATGTCAAGACAACCAAGATCCAAAAATAACATTGATAAGGGTGTCAATCCTTATGCTCTCAGATTTTCCCTCCACATTTGATCTCGAGGTAGAAGCTTCCCTTAGAGGAGTGGGAGCCGTCTTATAACAAAGAAGACCCATTGCATACTTCAGCCAAACTTTGACATCTATTAACAAACTAAAATCTATCTATGATGATGCTCAACTTTGACACACTTCTATCACGAGCTCCTAATGCATATGATTTCAAGTGGCTGAATTGTCATGACCAAAACTATTAGACTTAACACTAATCAATAAAGAGATGCAAGAAGATGCTCAATTTTAAAAAATTACTTTCAACCTTCTTCAGCATCTTGAAAAGTGGTTGCACTACTCCCTGCAACACATAGCTTGTTTTACAAAGGTAGATTAGTTTTATCACCAACATCTAAGTTCATTCTACATATCTTACAAGAATTTCAAGACTTGACTAGTTGTTGATCATCTAGAATGTGAAGTGGATAAGAATGAAATAGTAGGTGTGATGATATGTTGCAGCCTAACCCATCTATCAATAAAACAAGACAAAGTATGGACCCTAGCCAACCTCCTCCAACTCCTATTGATTCTTGATTATATTTAGGCTAACTAAACCATGGATTTCATTGAAGATTTACCAGTCTCCAAAGGATTTAATGTCATCATGGTTTTTGTCGATTACTTTAGTAAAGGGATGCATTTGTTTCCCCTTCAACAACACCTATTCATGGTGATTAAGAGAGCTCACACATTTATCCATTATTAATGTTTGCTTTTTAGTTCTTAATTTATTTTATTTTATTATTTTATTATTTTGATTTGTAGAAGAAAATGTAATTTTATATAATTAATTTTGAAAGTTAGAAATTAGAGGGAATGTATTTCTTCTTTTAGAAAAATATTTTTAAAATAATATGATACTATAATATTTCTAATCTTATATTATATTTAAATGGGTTGTAGACAACCATCCTTATGGCCCATGGCTTACAATTGGATTAAGGACTTGTTAGAAAAAAATGAATTGTTATATTATATACGCAGCATATCTACTGGAAAAATTGATGTGGGACTAAACTTTATTTTCATATTTTAGGGCACCAATTCATGACTAACAAATCCTACAGTACTTAGCATGTTTGCCACTTCATGAGAAAAGGTTGATCATGTGGTAGGTGAAAGCCCACAATACCAAAAGCTTAAAGCACTCGTATGACAACAATTCATGATGGATGATCATGTATCATTCAATACACCATGTGACTATAGATAATCAATCCAATGTCAAGTGAAGCAGCATGATACCAAGAACTTAAGTTCTCAATTGGTAGTAGTTTATGGTAGGTCAAATTTATGACGCTCAACATGTCACATGACTAATGATAGTTGATCTAGTGGTAAGTGAAGTGCCAAGGTACTGAGAACTTTAGTTATCACACATTATTATAGATATAAAGATAATTCTCAATAATCATATGGTAAAATAAGCATATTATCGATTATCTTTAAAATTTTGATGGTAGTCATGAAGATGGCATCTATTTTCCTCTCCTTCATGCAATCAAAACCTCCAACAATCAACAAGCTCACTCTTTCCTCTCCCAACTACACTCAAGGCCTACAACAAGTGTTCAGCTCATTCCTTCTTCACTCAGACAATGGTGATAGTGTGGTCGACCTTTCTCCTCAGTAGATCTCTACGACGAGTGACGTAATACTTCCAAATGATATTCATGTAATTTTTGACATGCTGTGGAATGATTAGGAGGTAGATCAACGTTGGACAACATTTATTTACTCACTTTCAATATTTATTTACATCTTTTCATCATTTATTTATATTTTATGTCAATTATTTCTATTTTTATGTGTCTTTTGATAAAAATCTATAGAACTCTTCTAAATCTTTGTTTCTCTTCTAAATCTTCCAAAACTTCTCTAAGATCAATCTAAAATTGTGTCCAACTTATTTCTCTTGATTTTTGTAGTTGAATCTCAAAGAATGTGTTCTATGAATGATGATTACTCATCTGATTTTGAATATGAAATTAGTGGAATTGAAAATCGATTAATGAGATTTTGGTTTCTATAACAAGATAAAGATATTCACACTTGATCTCATGTCATGTGTGTAAATTCTTGAACACACATTCATTCAGTAAATATAGTCAACTCAAGTTATGCATGAAACTAAATTACCATAAAAAGAGTTGACCATTGTTTCTCTCTTTTAATTATTCATCTACGTTTCTCTCTCAATCTCCCTCTCTCTTTCTCTCTCTCTCAGTCTTTCTTTTATCTTTCTTTCTTTTCTTCCTTCTCTTCTTTGCTCTTTTCATTCTTCTCACCTTACTCTTCTATTTTATTCTTTTTTAAAAATAGTGATAAAATTTTTAAATCACTCTATATATAAATTAAATTATTTCTTCATAATGAATTAATCAATCTTCTTATGTTTGGCTTGAGACTAACATATATATTAATATCTTATTAAGTTTTAGTTATAAATATTATTAGCTAATAAGCATTTAAATACAACAATAAGTGCACATCCGTCATGATGTGATGTAACTCCATGGAATTTCAAAGTTAATTATTTATGATACAAATCATATCTTTTAAGTTTTTTTTGTGAGAATTATTTTGACTTCAAGGCACTTCATTACAGCAAATAAATTCTTATAACCTACAATCAGATAAGCACGTGAAGTAGTCAACTACAAACTTAAGATTACCTCAAATGTTTTGCAAGTGATTGGCCAAGATAATAAAAAAAATGACTATTGTGAGCAAAATATTAGCTGAAAAAAAATTTCAATAGCTCCATCAGATGATTTGTGTTTTTGATCTTATATAGACCAGACATGCTGACCTTATTATAATATCACAATCTTGTAAACACTAAGGTCAATCAATTGTTGCTTAACTAAGAGGAGGTGATGAATCAACTGAAATAATGTTTATTGAAGGCCCAAGTTAGAATGAAGTACTAAATGAACCATAATCATTGAGAACAAGAGCTTGAAGTTGGTGATGAAATATATCTCTGATTGTGACCATATCGGCAAACTTCCTTTGCCCAGCAGACATATGAGAAGTTGACGCTGAGGTTTTTTGGGTCTTGCACAATTCTCTAACATATTGGGCTAGTGATATATCAACTTGACCTTTCTACGATAGCTTGTGTCCATGATATATTCCACATTTCTTAATTTGAAGTAGGTTGTTCCTAACACCCTTCCGAGTCAAATTAGCTCTTTACGGTTGGATGAAAACCATTAGTTGACAACTTCTTCAACCCATGTATTGACGATTTGACATATACTAGCTAGATCAAAAGTTCAGATTCAATATATGCATACTCAGAAGAGTCAACTTCGGAGACAGCACATGACATCCTCCATCATTAACCTTTTATATCTTTGCCTCCATCCACAATATACCTCCATTTCTATATTTGAAGGAGAGTAATGTTGAAACCCTGGCCTCTAGCCTCCATCCACATGACAAAAGAATAGCTGGAATACAACCAGACCACCCCAATAGTCATTTGGCATGCCATAGATTTATTAGTGCTGCCTTATTTTTCTTGGGGGAAAGTAGTTGTGATAGAATAAGGCTTGTTATCTTGACGAAATGGAAGGAATATTTATTCCAATGTCAGAAATATTTACTATGTTCAGTAGTTTTTCATTGGCTTCTTTTGCATTGCTAGGAATTAGTAGTTTAGTTGCAGAATCAAGTAACAAACATCCAAGTTCGATTTAAGCTGGGGTTAGGAGTTGGCCTGAAACTAATGAATCAGAGGTTTTAAGGGACAGAAAGGAGGGTAACGACGTAACAGCCACAGTACCATCAGATCGTTTGCCAATGAATGAAGATCGAGACCTTTAAAAAGACAAAAGATGGAGGAAGCTCGGCATCAAGTATTTTTAGATTTCCGAAGTAGAGAGAGGAGAGTGAGTATCTAACATCAGCCAATTGAGAGTTCATGAGTGGCTCCCTCGTCTGTCTTCCTAGTTTTCATGTCATTATGCTTTTGTCATCGCCTTTGTCAACGAGAGTTGCCAAACAAGAAACCCCACGGATTTGAACTGTCAAGTGGATCAAACCTCGAAGTGCCAATGGAAGGAATTATGTGCCTCCAGTGGAATGATGCTCCCTGAACTTGATTTGAGCCAGCTTTATTTTCAAATACCATGACCAATTTTAGAAAAAATATAAATATTTCTCGAGTTTCTGTCTTATTATCATTATTACTAAATAATTCAACCATAATTTCTCAACTCATGTGCCATAAAGAGGGGATCTCATAATCCAATACTACAACTAACTTTACAAAAATATCAGCTACGTTGCTCCCATATTACTTATTAATCTTAAATTATTTAAACTAAATTTTAAGAAAATTATTTTTTCTAAAAAAATAAAATTTTTAGAAAAAATATTTAATATAATTTTTATCCCTTAAAAAAAATGAATCGCGTGATAATTTTGCAAAATAAATGAAATTTATGGGGGAAGCATTTATATTAATAAAAATTTATGTCAGAACCCTACTTTTTCTGGCACAAACTCCCAAAAGAAGAGCAGTGAGGAAAGTGGGGTCAACGCCGACAGAACAGCGAGCCAAAAAAACGAAGAGAAAAAAGGGGATCGATCCCTGAATATCCTGGGAGATATTAAAACGGGTAAATCACCACGGCGGTCCGATTTAAAATCTCTAAGAAAACAGTCAACGTGATTCATGTCTCTATTTCTAGAAAAATTCAACATTCTGGGTTGACCCATCTCCAAAGAAGAGGTAAAAAAAAGGGATCGTTCCCCGATAACTGGGGAAATAATAAAACGGAAAATCACCACAGTCGTCCACTTTATAGTCTCCGAGAGAAAAAGGTCAACGTGCTTCATGCTTCTATTTCTAGAACAATTCAACATTCTGGGTTGACCCATCTCCAAAAGCGGGTTATTGTAGAGAGTAGAACAGCCAGAATGCCGTATTTCAACTGCCTTTAGGAAATACCTCCCGGGCGTTTGTGTAGCTTTGTGGAGTCCAGTGAATGAGAGCTATAAATCAAAATCTCTCAGGCTTCTAAAAACGGTAAATCGACGGGAATCACCCACTCACTTCTCAATGAACTCCTTCATGTTCTTCAGCCAGGTGACGTACTCTCTCTCTTCTTTCTTGATCATGTAATCCTGTAAGAACTCAGTCAGAGAGGGCTTGATGCCTCTCCGGTCAAGGAAATTGTAGAACTCCGTCTGCAAGTTCTCGTCCAAATCGCTGCATAAGAAGTACGAAAAAAATGGGAGAAAATGAATCACCATGAGGGAAACCCATCAGAGGAGGAGATAGAGAGAGAGAGAGAGAGAGAGAGAGAGAGAGTTGGTAGAGAGAGGAAATACTGACGTGAATTCGGGTCCTTCATAGGGGCTCTGATCATCTGAAACCTCAGGGGACTTCAGAGTCAAGCTGTCTATGTTGATTTCATTGGAATTGAGTGAGCAACAGAACTCAAGAGCAGGGCCCTTTCCCTTTTCAATCGTCACAACCAGAGAGATGTTCGACAGATCTCGGCTATCTTCCTCATCGCCAGTGGCATCATCATCTTTCTCACCTTGGTCATCTCCTTCATCCTCACCTTCGCCCACTTCCATGAACACAGAGACCTCAACATTCTCACTCCCAAACTGCCGTTTTAGAGTAATTGTCTGATCACCAGGATTATCAATGATCGTAAATGGAAAGTTCTTTGGCAACGCCGATTCATCCTGAAAATGATGAACATTTCAAGAAGTATTTTAGTAAACTATAGAAACATGTACATACACAAAATTAATGATTTCCACGACAACTGAAGCTAAAAATTCTCAATAACTCGTATTAACATGCAACACTACAAAACTGAATATCAATGCGTGTATTTCTGGCTTCTCATCTCGCAGCAATAATCAATGAAACGATGGGTATTTTGTCATTATTTTACAAGAAAAATGTTTTCTTGACATAAATAAAATATTTTCTACAATAGATACATGACTAGTGTGGACGGGAACACAAACAGACAGGAGACGCCGAAGCATACATCGAACAAACTACATCCCTCAGTCTTCACATGAATCCTGCAATGAGAAAGGAATAATACCGATGCAGCAGCAAGCACCGACCAACCAAATCTAACCAGCTTAGACTAAGAACTTTGAAGGGCACCTTTTATATTGGGTTTAAATGGCAGAGAATGGCATAAAATGTGATGATAGAAATTATTAGTCAGGTGCCCATATAAGTCACAACCAGACACTCTGTCTTTCTCATAATGGAACACAATTCCAGAATCATTTATCCCACTGTGGTCAGTCAGTTCATGCCAAGACTTGAACAGATTCTTCGCACCATGCTCACGAGATAATTGCCATCTTGTGCAATTCCGTTGTGTGTGATACACATGTTCATAAAAAATAAAAAATAAATAAAACCAAGAGGGGAACATGTAATGTACAACGTTCAACGCTGTTGTTCTTAAATATTACCCAGGTTTACAATCGGAAAAACAAAGTAAAAAACGCCAATGACCGAATACGGAAACTCACAAGGGATAGAAGAAGATCTCAATTTCTTTCTTCAAGTGCAAAGAAATCTTTACAGAATGAAGGGGCAATGCTACTAATGGAAGTGAAGCAACAGTAACACCACGCTAAAAATGATCTGATACATAGGCTCCGATCCCTTCGTAAGAGGGCCGGAAACAAGTATTTTCAGAAAAGTGTAGTTGATGCCAGAAAAGAATGATCCCAATAGGGGGATCATCTCGTATATACTCGAAAAAAATGGAATGAAGTGAGAAAGGACACCAGAACACACCGTGTCAAAGGATCATAAAGTACCACAGCGGAAGATGGAGAGAAGGCCGAGGGGAAGTAAATCAGGCATCATGTTACCCGTTCAAGGAGAAGTTAGAACTTTACCTGGGCGTCTTCCACGTCCTCTTCGGCAACCTGAATCTCAGACTCAAGGACCTTCTTCAAGCTGGCGTCTCCGCTCTTGGGAGCGGCAGAGGACGCGAAGAAGGCGGAGGGGTTAACGCGGAGAGAGGAGGGAACCCCCGCCGTTTGCACTCCAAATATCGAGCAGGACGAAGAGCACGAGATCGGAGACATGCGCAAGGGAGACTGCCGGTGCCGAAAGAGGAGGGCCGACGAGGAGGCCAGACGGAAACCCCTGCGGACGAGAGAGGAAGTCATGGAAGTCGCCATTTTCCTCCTCCCCTCGCTCTCGACTGCAAGAGCTCTTAGGGTTTTAGACCTTCGACCTCTTCTAACACCTACCGACACAGTAGGGTTTTTGACCAGTTGACGAAGTGTCAATTAGGGCTTACGTCACGGCATTATTCCACTCCTCGCGTCTGAAAGATTCTCAAAAATCCGTTTTTGGCTAGCCCAAAACGGAACCCATTTTTGGATGATTATGCACTTTATCCACGTGTCATTTACGATAATACTTGATTATATCAATTAATCAGTGGCCGTCAGATCAGCCCCCGAGCCCAGTACAAATAATGCCCCGAAATCGGACGGTTCCAGATCGATTTAAAACCCGAAAGGAAATCCGGAAGCATCAAGAATCGATTCCACTGACCCTGAAGTCTTGAATAATTTGGGTAAGAAATTTACAGTGAGACCACGTCATCAAGTCTACCGAGTACAGCAAGCCCCGGTTTCCCCTCCTTCCACTAGCGACTTACAGTGAGGGACAGACCAAGGTCCACAGCCACAGCTCCACCGAGGCTCTTCACAAAACAACCCATCTGACTAAACAGCTTTTAGACCGAGAAAGAGGGAGAGAGAAGAGAGAAGCTCTAATCCTATGTACTGGAAGATCAGCATGTTGAACAAGGGTTCCTGGAGAATTCATCGCCGGGTCAATCTACCAGGATCGAGAGAGAGAGAGAGATAGAGAGAGAGCACCTCTAATCCTATGTACTGGAAGATCAGCATGTTGACGAAGGGTTCCTGGAGAACTCGTCGCCGGGTCAATCTACCAGGATCAAGAGAGAGAGAGAGAGGGAGAGAGGTGTTCTTCAAGATCCTGGTGTCACTACTGCTCGAACGGAGCCCGGATGAACAGCTGACCATGCAAGGTGACCACAGCGGATGTCTGGTGTGGGTCAATCCGAGAGGGCAAGGTGATGACCTGCAGGGTTTGTTCATGGTTTTTTCTAATTATACGGGCATTCGAGGAACAAATCAACTCAAAAAAAGAGGCATTGAGGGGGGGGCGGGGCCAAAGATCGTACCTTTTTGAAAGGGGTGACCCCCCACGGGTTATCTGGCTGCTCGGGTTGACCAGAAACCACCAAGCGGCCAGCTGGGTCCGACTGGACATGAACCTGATGAACCCGAGAGATCGGCAAAAAGTCAAATGAGGGAAAAAAGTCTTTCCCTGATTAAGACCCAATATGAATTATTGAAAAAACGGAAATACTTCGGGGTTTTATCACCTCCTCACGGAGAAGGCCGGGAACCAGAGCATAGATCTCAAAGCAGTCTTTCTGTATCCAAAACAGAAGTACCATAATATTCGAATATTACCCAGATCTAAGCGTTGACTTTAAATAGAAAAAGGCTGAAGAATGAGAGTTGACTTACAGTTCGCCGGACATTGATCTTCACCCAGTCAGCGGGGTCCCCAACATCGACGACCATGCTATCCATTCTACCAAGAAAAAACCCACAATTCAGAAACCCAAAAAAATATATACTTTTTAATCAGATGGGCAACCTGTCCGAGAATAAAAAGATAAAAAAAAAGGATGAAAAGATGAAGACAATCAGGGACGGGGTTAGGATCTCACTGCGGCTTAGCAACTTTGACCCTCGCAGATTTCACGGCGCTCTCCACATGCGAAGGTTTCTTCCGCTTAAATACACCTGAACTCTCTCGTGGGGCCCACTTAGATTGTCCTTTCTAAAGGGGGGAAAGAAACAAGAACAAGGCATGAATGAGGCTCATTTACCGATGCTTTTGAGATGCTTGTCGCGCCTTGGGAGAGAAGCTGGGCTCTTGTCCTGCAGAAGGTCAACCGGGGGGGGTGGGGGAAAGGGAGGAAATCAGTGAAGAGGAAGGGGCTCACAGCCCTTTGGTTTGCCCGATTTAGAGAGATCAGGGGAACCTTGATGATGGGGCCGCTACTCTCCCCATTGCCAAGAAACCGCTGAGAATGCCAGCCCTGCATCGCCCGGGCAGCAGCATCCCTCCTCTGCCTGCCCGACCCTGACGCCTGAACATTGCCCACCTGCAAAAGATTTCCCATAGCAATGACGGATAAGCATGTTTCAACAAAGTGATCCCTTTCATTTCGAGAAAAGTGTAGAAGAGCAGGCGGGCCTTCTTTTAGCCAGGTTCCATTGATAATCTTCCGGAAGTAGGTAAGAAAATGTGTGAAGTTTGTACAGATTAGAGAAATTTTAGCTAAGAGCTGACTTCGCTGTGGTTTTGGGTGGATCAGAAAATCATTTCAGGTCTCCATCATCGTTCATTGGGAAGGCAATGAGAATATGCAAGGGGTCAAACTAAAATAATTAAGAGTAAGAACATGACGCAGATGTAAAGAAAAAAAAAAAAACAATTAATAGGCCAATTGGAGGAAGTGGCTAACGATTAACTACCAGTTCAAATGGGTTTTGGATGAGCACAGTAAATTAAAGAAAAAGATTAGAGTAAGCGAACGAAAATCACTGAAAATAAAAAAGTGGGTCATAATCATGGTGAAAAATACGTTGTTGAATTGTTCAGTACTAATCAAGGAGAATTTATGTATATGCAAGGAATCTAGATCACGTCAGAAGAATTTATGGCATTCACAAATAGTTCACGCCATTCTTAGAAAGAGGAACAAAGCTTACTTACTTGATTATCAACAGCCATGGGCTCTGCAAGAGAAGAAATAGGCACTTGAAGCTCACCACTGCGAATTTTATGTTTCTCGTATTCCAGAAGCGCCTGATGATATACTGGAGATTTAGTATATTCAACTAAAACTATTCACCCTAAATAAAAACTAAACGAGGAGGAAAGCTGTTGATCATATGACAACAGATTTTCATGAAAAAACAGCATATAAATAAAAATTATCAGAGAGCATTATCCAGAGCTCAAATCGAAGAACAAATGAATGTGTTTACAATGACTTTTGAAAACGACCAATGCATGAAGAAGCTTCCGTCCTACTACCTTCTCATAGAAGCATCGAAACGACCATGACACAGTGGTGCATGTCCTGCACATAGTGGCAGTGTATGAATTAGCAGCAAAAATAAATAAATGAAAAAAAAAACAGTAATTTAGGTGGTCGACTCATAGACCCCAAGTGAATAAGATGCCGAAAATGGCTAGGGTGACTTTTGCTTGCTTTCATTATATTTTGTACAGGCCACAAAGCAGTAATACCAGCGCAAATCCTATAGTATCAATCACCTTTGGCTTCTCAGCATGCCAGATGCGTATTTTCAGCCGAGTGCCAATTTGATGGCAAGTGTTTTATTCAAATAAATGACCAGTTATTCAGGTCTGAAATGCTCTGATAAAAAGACTGGCATCCCAAAAGAAAAACATGCGTGTCTTCCACACTATTACACATTCATCTACCGTTGCAGAACGCATCTGATATTAAAATTTCACCAAAAGTGGCAATTAAGGCATTAAGTGTCCCAGCTCAGGATCAGGTATAGGACCAGTCCGCTAAAGATCGGTGCTACTAACCCAATCACAAGCGTAATTCCAAGCACTTTTTCTGCACAAATGCAATCACAACAATGGTTGTCAGAACCGCCCATAATTGTGACAGTGGCAGCATTTTGATCTGTCCGTCAGAGAAGAAAGTCAGCGGCAATGACAGCAACTAGACCCTGAATAGGCTCATTTTATTGAAAAATATTCGTAATTATATCCTCTTTGATAAACAACGGATTTTTTTCGCCACCAGATAGACAGGTTCAGCTCGGTTTTCAAGGTTTGTGAGTGACTGAGCTTACCTACTATAAAGTGATATTTGTCAAATTTTCTGGAATTTCTCTTTACATGGACGACATCAAAAGGTCTATTTTACATGGTAATGAAGAACCGACATATAGGCACACGATGTGACAAGGCTTTAATGTCGAAATTTAAATATAGAAAGCATCAAAATGTCATGAAAAATCTTCAAAAGAATGTGAAAAAACTAAAGCAATATACCGAATCACTCAATTCTACAAGGCTCCCTTTTTTATTATTGATAAACGTGAAGCCATAATTCCCTATAGTATCATCACAAGGCCAATACAGAAGCATTACGTACCATCTATAACTAGTAAGATGCTTGCTCATGAGCAAGATATCTTATTATAGCACGTTTTTGTCACCTCATGCTTAGACACAGAAACTTCAATTGAATGCAAGAAATAGCATTTATTTTGATAACACTAAATGGCAAAGAACTAATGATCTCAATATTCAGACGATTAATTAATATAAAAGATCAATTACTTTGGAGGCTTGAACGATTCTCCCACTTGGCGCCATAATTTGCATGATGTCACCTGCATATAGAGATATATCATGAAAATTAATGCACGAATAAGAAGCACATTCGCTAGATATCAGAACGAGACGCGAGAGAGCTTGAAAAAGCAGGAAAATCTCCAAACATGGCTTCAAACCTGTCCTGGATGAAAAGAACGTCCTCAACCCACCCCTAAGGCTAAGAAATTTTACTGGTCATGTTACAGCGCTATAGTCTAAGAAATGGCAGGGAGGCATGCAACTCGAGAGGGATGCATTTACAATACGTGTGAAAATGCTCCTTCGGACAAGATGACCACAAAAATATTTTTACTCATTCTAAGTCAAATGAATATCAGCCAAACACACAGATCGACCACTACTCATACACATTGATATCCTGACTGTGCAAAAATTACAGAAAGCTACTGGAAAATGAAGAAAGAAATATCTCTCATGAGGGAGAAAACAAGCAGTGAGGCCACGGGAATGTTCGAATACAATTGGGAAAGTTCTTAGTAATCTTGATTATAATTTTCAGTCACTGCCCAAAGAAAAAAAAAATGGCGACCGATTAGTCAAGTCCTTTTTGGTGCACAGCACAGCCCGTACATAAGAATTGGAACAGACAGACACGGATACAGTGTGTAAGAATGAGAACAGATATAGTTCATAGACCTCTCCCCCATTGAAAGTAAAACCAAGTCTCGCAAAAGAATAAAAATAACAGCCCTGCCGTCAGTCCCTAATAAAAACATTGATTGACTTTCTTCCTGGGGCCTTCCAATTTATAATCTTTATTAGTTATTTAATACACTGAGGTGTGAGAGAACATGCTCTCCCTGCAGAGCAGCCTCTTATTTCAAGATCACAACTTAATTTCATAGAATGACACGTAATTAATGAAAAAAGACGAAAAACTAAACAACTATGAAGGTCACTGTGTACCAACTGGATCGTAATCAGTGAATCATTGATATGGGGACAGCGAGCAATTACAGTATGTAATTTTAATAACAACGCCATGCACATCACTTGGACATTTAAAGAAAGAATCTATAACAGTCAACGAGGGTAGGGCTACAAATGGAAGAACCGCTACAAAAAAAAACAGCCACATAAGGAACTAAAGTGAAATAGTCCCCTCTCTAGTGCGAACTAACCATGGTGAATAAAATCTGAGGAATTACCTACAAATTCCATGAAGAAAGGGCCGAATAACCTACAGTTCTCTCCATTACATATTTATTAATTAGTTGGGCTTAGGAGGAGCTCCACAAGATTTGGGGTTTGGCATCTTCGGTATTTCAACCTTGTTCTAGCAGGAAATGGAAAAAGAGGCGGTGAAACTCAAGGGCCGACAGTCAATAGGTATGCTGATGAATGAAGGTTTTCGTGCATACAGGCATCAATAATTCGTTCATATCTCAGACACTACAACGAATGCTTTAAGAACTCTGGCTGCAAAATTAACAATTTTGATGGTAGAACCCAAAAAAAAAATAACATCAAAGATACTAGTATACAAGATGTAATGCGGCAGGAACTGCAGGAATAACCGAATGAGCACACCTGTTCATAGCCACCCAGTCTAGTAACTGCTCTCCATAACCTGTTGCCAATAAAGTGTGAAAGAAATGATCAATTTAGTTTTAAAAAACGCTCTTCATTCCAAACTAGTTTGTAGGATGAATACAGATAAAGCAATGTAAGAAATGATGTCAGTAGAGAAGGAAAAAAAATATAAAATAGCACAACTTACTTCAAACAATTCAACCCTTCTCCATAAAATTTAGGTGGCTTGAACTCCAAGCTCCTCTCCCTGAAGAAATTTTCGAGCTCCTTCATAAAAGCAGCTTGCTCTTCCTCTGTCCCGGAATCATCTCCCTCGGATGCAGGTGGATCAAAGATGGATTTGTTCGACACATCCTTTAGCACTGGGCTAGGTGAGACCGACTTTTCTGGCTTCAAGGATGCATCTACTACAAGATTTCCTTCTGATATTATTTCCTCTTCTTTAACAAGTTCACTACAATTTTCTACCTGTGACGAATTTCCTGGTTCATTCTCCTTATCATTCTTGGTGTCTAAGGACTCATAGTGATCAGGAGCAACATTAAGTTGATTCGTAGAAGCAGGGTCTTCGTCCTCATTCTTTAATTCCAACTGTTTGCTGCGTTGTCCAACGTCATGCTCCACCAAAACAGGCTCAGTAGTAGTAGTAGCAACGTCAGGGTACTTCTCCCCTTCGTTTCCATTTTCCTTCAGTGAGGGAATCTTAATCTCAACTTCTGTGCCCACCGGCTCACCCTCGGCATTTTCTGGCAACCCTCCGCGCTGCTCACCAGCACTCTTTTCCTCCTCCATCTACCTTGTTAGACACTCTCAACCAGAGAGAACCGAGGATCGTTCCATGAACATGAACACTCACTGCACAGAAAAAGTACGGAAAATGGTCAAAAACTAGGTCGATTAATTTTTCATGAACCTTCCTACATAGAGCCATTCTCCTAGGGCCAAAAAACAAGCTTGTTTCCTCGCTAAATTCAGGAAACTCATCATACCCTCAAGCAGGAAATTACGAAAGAAACTTCCAGTCGGATCGACAACAAAAAAACCTAACACTGAGCCACCCAACTCCTCGTTTGTCACTTCCGCCCATCGGAAGAGAAAAAAAATATATTTTCATCGTCACACCACAAAACCCTAACTCCTGTCTCGAGAACATGAAGATGCAACTTACCTCCGCCGTCGCTCAAAATGCACACCGATAAAAACGCCTGCAGACGAAGAAACCGGGTCGAAGCCCCACTCCCCGACAGCTCACAACCAGGACTCCAAGATCCTCGCCCCAAGCTCGACACCCAAACCTATTCCTAGGCCAGAGAGAGAGAGAGAGAAAGAAAGAGGTCTAGAGAGAGAAATTACGAGGTCCCTTGGAGTGATCCTCCTCGGTACGCCAGATAAAAAAGTTACCGTAACTCTCCAGAGAGGCGAACTCGTCGAAACCATCCCGATCACTCCATCTCACAGGGTGGACGGCGAAGATATTTTTACCTCTCTGTGGGCCCACCCTCAGGTTTCTGGGCCTCGCCAGACCTAGCCCAGCCCATAAAAACTGCACTGAGCACCATCCTTACCCTTCGAGGCCCAAACCCAACTGGCCCATTTCAAGGAAACCCAATTAATCTGCCATTTAATAATATCATTAAGAAATAATCTGCCATCATCTTGCCTTCGAAATTTTAAATAATTTATCCTTTTAAAATTATTAAATATTATTATTTTCATAAGTTTCCAATAAAAGTAATATTTTAATGAAATTAATTTTATTTATATTTATTGGAATTTTCAATACACATTGATCGTTGGTAATGGGCCCGGCCGGGCCGTTGACTCAAGAGGACATTGGGCATCTTTATTTTGGGGCATACCCAGAAAAAAAAACGTGAAAGAAAAACTATAGTTACCTATTTATTTATTTTTTAAATGTGTTTTTTGTCGCCCTTGTTCGGGAGTTCTCTCTTAGTGTTTGGGCCAAATTGGGGCTCATTAGGACCTGACTGGAGGCCCACGTTCCAAGAGACCCCCACTAACACCACTCTCTCGTTACCACACCAATCTCAGTATCCGTTAAAATTTTCTGGCCTCTATTATTGGAATAAAGCGTTAATATTTCTCGAGGATATTCCGACTGTCCCCGCCACGTGGCGCCCCTCGGCGACCGCCGCCAAGATCGTGGCAAAAATATATGCCAAGATTAGTTCATAGAGTCAGACTATTTTACCCCCCCCCCGATATTTTTTAATTACGAACCTAACAAATTGAGCATAGGGAAATAAATAAAATATATGAGGGTATTTAAGGGAATAATCGACGGGCATGTGTGACATTTCTGTATGACGGGTCCCACCCGGAAAGTCCGTAATCCCGACTTTATTCAATAAAAAAAGTAGAGATGAAAAATGTCGCAATCGGCGAATAATACGTGGAATCCTTCACTGCCGAGCTCTCAAATAGAATTATTAATGACAATTAAGCACCTCAATTTATATATTTATATATTTACTTCATATCATGTACGAAAAGGTGTCAAAAGGAGGGCAGATGAGAAAAATACGGATACTACAGGGATGATATTGAGTGGAAATAAAAAGGCCTTCTCCAGAGGACCGAGGAAGCTCACGAATTTCACGCAGTCGGGGGGAATGGAGAGAGAGCTGCTCCTCCCCGCTACCGGGGGCGCTAGAATCCAAGGAAGGAAGCTTCTACGGTCCTTCTCCTTGTGCCTGAAGCTGCCACAACCCTGCGCCGTCGCCGTCCCACACAGTCGGAGCTTCGCGCGGTACAAGGGCAGCGAGGTGGCTTCCTCTACCGGAAGACCGTCGCGACGCTGGCGTACGCACTCTCCGGAGGGGAACGTACGGTGACACCGGCTTGTCGCGTCCCGAGGCGCGGTCTTTGGGACCTCCGCGTGTCCCTATCTCCCGGAGGAATCTTCCCGAACGCATCCTCGCCGGCGCATCCGGTGGCAGGACCGTGGGGATGCAGAGGTCATCTTCCCTCTGGATTTCGGGGACGAGGGGATCAGAAGTGGTCGCCGTCCGGGGTATCCCTGGGAGGTCACCGCAGCGACGGATTGTAGTGGCTCCACTGTGGGGCCGGTGCAATCACGTAATGTTGGGCCGAAGGGCCTCATATAAGGAGTCTGCAAATCCACGCCGGGCAAATTTTCCGTTTATTCTTCTCCTGCATTCTGGTTTTCCAGCAAAGGGTCACGGCAACTTCCCCAGGGCAGGTGACGGTCGATAGCACGTTCGATCTTCAGGAAGCGCGAAATATCCTGGCCTCTTTGTTTCCGGAATCAGCACATGAAATATTGCTGCCGGGGCGGACGTGAGCGGTAAGGTTGTGTTCGAAGTTTTATCACCTATGAATCGAATCATGCGTAAACATGAATTTATATCGGCATTATATGCGAGGATCGTTTCCTATTTCGCTCAGAGTCCAATCTTAAATTCATCAGTATGTGTAATTAGCTGTTGTGTCCATCCTATGGCTGGGTTAAAGACGATGGTGACGATGATAACGCAGAGAGCAATGCCTATACATGAGAAAACTTTCCTGAAATAAACGACAGTGAAAAATGTATGAATCTCAAGTTTTTTCGTGTGCACTGCTACTTCAGGTGAGGAACAGGTTTATCACTCTAGGAAGACGTATGATCCTCACAAGTGTGGAAATCTTTAAGTAAATCTTGTATAGCCATCTAATCCTCGACTAGCTTTTTCTTTTCAACTTAAATCTTGGCGTGAATTTTCTATAGTCATTCTCATCATAAAATTGAGTTTTCTGAGTTCACACGCTACTTTATGGATTCTCTGGTCGAAGAGTGCAACTGCAGTATCTACGATAGGGAGTTATAGTGAAGTGTTTGCAGACATTGTGTTCGATAGGGAGTTATAGCTGTTTGTTTTCAAATGTCCTTGTCAGAAAGTGTAATGTCCAAAAGTTATCTATGGAAGAAAGCAGGGCAAGCTGAAATTCCTTAGAAGAAGAAAGGGGACCAAATTCTTCAATAGATGGGGCATTTACCTACGACGATCTGTTATCTTACTTTCCTGGTCGTCCTGGTGTATTAAGGTAACTTGTTTGTGTCTTGACGAACCTAACTGCACCTGGTTGAGCACTCGATTTTATTGATCTCGATCATAATTTAACTTCAGAGAAGAAGAGTTAAATGTGAGGGGCACTTAAATTTTGGGTTTTCCATAATGGTTGGGAGACCATTCATCGTTATCAATTTTCCTGCATAAAATTTTTTATTTTTATTAATTTTCTCGGACAATTATTTTATATTCCATTCTTGGTGCACTGTTTTTTATCCAGTTCAAGCTTCACTTTCTGAAAACTAGCCTTCAAGTTTGCTTTATATTCCATTTTGAGACTTGATAACGTTTTTGTTTCTCTTTCTCGTTGGACAATCTAGGATAACAGCCTCTTTTATACGAACTCACAATGGGTCTCCTGGAGCTTTTTATCACGGCATCTGTGCCTGTCCTAAATGTGCTTATACTGACTGCTGTTGGGCTATTTCTTGCACTGGACCGCATAAATATTCTTAATGAAGATGCAAGGAAGCATTTAAACAACGTGAGTTATCTTTTGATATTCATTTATTTCTCATTTTCCCCATTGTGGGTTTTTAGAGTGCCTTTGCCTTTAGCATGTATGTGATTTAACTGGCGAAGCAGTAATGCCTGCAGTTTTTGCAAAAAACTCTATATTATACAACAGCATTCATAAGTTACTAAGTTTATGTCAGCGTCTGTCTGCATGCGCTTTCAATATTTCAATGGAACTTTCTACAACGTTATGGCTCCAGAAGGTGCTATACATAATGATAAAGAACACCGAATTGTGGTCAGTGTTATTTGGAATTAATGGCGAAAAGTGTTTAAATTGTAAGATATGATTACATAGATTTCAAGGATGCGCTAATGAAACGAACAAAAAAAAAAACAGAATAACCTAAAAGCATCACTTCACGTTGAATGATATTGGTGCCCATGGGGAAGAAATCTAGAAAACGTGGTATGGGAAAAGCGTAATCCTTCTCTATGGGAAGTCTACAGAAAATATCCAATGGATCTTAAAGACGAAAGATGGCTCATTTTTCTCTCTCCATTAACTGTTGAGAGATCTTAATAGGAGAAATTAGCTTTCAGTTCCAACTCCTTTTGGTTTGATTATTTTTTCAAGGTAAATTTTGCCTGTGGGCGTGAAAGCTTCAGGTGATTCTTCCTCACTTGTCCTTTTATAAAGTGATTCTTCCTCACCTATCCTTTTATAGACAAATGTGTAGGCCCTGTATTTGAATCTACTTGAAAATTAGCTAAGTTATGCACCCTGAGGTATTAGTGTAAAACATAGTTTTCGTGCAATTTGCTGGATATTTATATAAAGTAATTTTCAGCTATAGTTCTACTCGTTTAATGTTATAATTTATTATATTGATATCTTAGCTAGGCTTCTTGATATGTCTGCATTCCAGAGACTTATATCATACCCATTAGAAGTATTCTTTTAGAACCAAGGAAAGAGGTTCATGAATATGTTGTAAGACCGTTTCCTATGACACATTCTGATTTATACTTCAATTTATTCTGTTTACACATTTCTGTAATTTTAACAGATTTTTTTCAACAGATTGTATATTTTGTTTTTAGCCCGGCCCTTGTTTTTACCAATATCTCAAGAACGATCACATCTGAAAGCATGGCTCAGTTGTGAGTTCCATTCTCGCTAAAACAATTGCTAGGTTATTTCTCTTTTAGTAAAGATATGACTTATCTTTTGTTGTCTTGCAGGTGGTTTATGCCCATCAATATCCTTTTAACGTTCATCATAGGCTCTGCTCTTGGGTGGATCATCATTCAAATCACAAAAACTCCTCCCAACCTAAAGGGTCTGATTCTGGGCTGTTGTTCAGCAGGTAAAAGATTATTTATGGCATGTGTGCCAGTTTCCCTTAAAGAAAGCAACGCCAAATGGATACTTTTGTACGAATTATTGCATTTCCAGTCACACATTCCTCTGATTTAATAAGCCTTTTTTGAGGGTCTAGAGATCATTTTCAGTTCCGCTTCATGTGATGATAGGACTTGAAAATAATTCCCATGCACTAGTTCAAATTAGATCGTCAATAAACTTGGAAGAACATGTCTTGGAAATAAGCTGGTCATGGTACTGAACATAGTCTAGATGTTGAGAAGTTGACTAAATGACTTGGAACTGTTTCTTCAGTTCAAAGAATTTTGACTGAGAGCATTATTTTCTGTGCTTTTCTTCAACAGGAAATTTGGGCAGCTTGCTGCTAGTTATTGTCCCTAGCATCTGCAGAGAGAAGGGAAGTCCATTTGATGATCCAGAGACATGCCATAAGCATGGATTGGCATATGTCTCTTTATCTATTGCGGTAAGTCCCTGAATCTGGATGCGTACAGCAGTGTAGTGGCATCAAATGTCAGTTAATTGTGAATAGAAAACTATTTATGGTACAAAAAAGAACATATGAGACAGAGATTAAACTAGGCACGTGGACCACCTGACCTAAATTGAACCTCTACTTGTCGTGATGCAGGTGAGTGCTGTCTTGGTGTGGACTTACATCTACAATCTTGTGAGGATATCTTCAAATGTAAAAAATGATGAAGCGAATGGCTACACAACTGCAGAAGAAACCAAGAAGCTGGCCGTATCCGCACAAGAAACCAGTAAACTTGCCCAAGATGGATACATGAATGGATCAGCTTTGGCAAACGATCACTTGGTATCTGGCCATTTGGAAAATGGCATTGGGCTTCCGCTCCTTAAATCCGATGAGTTTTATGAAACAAAAAAGGTCTGTTTTTCTCATCATCGCCTCAAGTAGACATTCTTTTAAATGCTGATTTTTTTCTACCTATAAACGTCCACACGCTGCAGTGAACCACAATGTTAGAGTTCTTTGCGATCTTTGGTACTGAAAATTAACTAAAAATGCAGATAGATGCAATAGCCATTCAAAAACTGATAGAACAGACAATCCAACGCATACAACCTTGAGAAAAGATAACCCATAGAATTTTCAGTCTTTATTCGCTCGCTAATCTTAACTTTCAGAACATGATTGCAGATATTCTTTCAAACCGGCATTGTTTCCCGGCCATTCAATCTTTTTATTCCCTTGATCCCCTATGAGATAACTGTTCTAGTATTCCTCATTGGAATCAGTAGGCATGCTAATGCCAGTAAAATCAATCTCACAGGCATCAGTTTCAGTAAAAATACAGCATTTCTTAGCGAAAATCCTGGAGAATGTTGACTTGAAGAAGTTGTTGGCACCTTCAACCATTGCTGTGGTATGTACCCATCATAGGCCCCACCCCCACACCCTCGAGTCTTTTCCTTCCACTGGTATTAGAACTAGTTGTGTGCCTTCTTCTTTTTTCTAGATGGCAGGTTTTGTTGTTGGTGTTTATCCCCGAATTAGAAGCGCAATGATTGGTGAAAGCGCTCCTCTACGTGCAATCAACAGTTCAGTTGCTCTGCTGGGGTATTGACAAGCGCCATCCAACCCCCACCCTCCAGTTTTTTCAGTTTCATTCAAAGTATTCGATAACCCTAAAATTAGTAACTCCATTGCCCTTAAACCAGTGATGGAGCAATCGCGACTCTGATACTGATAATGGGAGGAAATCTGAAGAAAGGTATCCCCCAGGCCTCATATTTTCAGCTTCTCCATTCAAGAACTACTCCACAATGCGTTTTTCAAACCATTTTCCAACTTGCTCGTGCAGGTCTATGCCTTAAGATTCAGACTTCCCAGATTGTTGGAGTCATATTCGTCCGTTATATTGCCCTTCCTATAATCGGCATCGGCGTGGTGCAAGGAGCGGTGCATCTAGGCCTCGTGCAGCTGGATCCCTTGTACCGCTTTGTTCTTCTAGTGCAGTTCGCCCTCCCTCCTGCTCTGAACATAGGTAACTCTGCCAAATCATCTTATATGAGACGAAGTTCTTGGCATTTTTCTGGTCCTTACCATGATGGTATGGTACATATTTTTTCCATGGATATGTGAAATTATCTGCAGAAATTAGACTATTCGAAGACACCCACCCAATTCAATCTCCCGTTTTCTCGGAGACAAGCATGCATTTTCATGTGAAATATTTGCTCTAGCCCTATGATAATCTGTAGTTACTTTGATTAATTAACCTCATATTCTTGGCTCAAATGGATCACGAGCCCATTCTATGATAACCTGATATCATTGACGATACTCGTTTTAATGGCCAACATTCATGGCCCCTCTTGCAGGTATAATCACCCAGCTGTTCGGCGCCGGCGAGAGTGAATGCGCCGTCATCCTTCTGTGGAGCTACGCCTTCGCCTCTCTCTTTCTCACCCTCTGGTCAACCTTCTTCATGTGGCTAGTCCTGTGATTCCATCCCTCCCCCGAAGCTAGTCTTGTGGGTGACTCCCTCTCTGAAGAACTTGCCCCGAAAGAGGCTACGGCATGTATAGAAGTCAACACATTTCTCTTCTCGGGGGACTCGAGTTGAGCCCCAAAAATGGCCATTGTGGGCGATTGGTCCTGGAACAATGGGGCGTTGTAGATCGGCAGATGGGTTAAGTGGTATGCTCTGTTATTTTTTTCACTACTGGTAGATTGATTGAGTGCATTGCCCATAGAAGCATGAGAAAGAATCTCAACAGGTTCGTCTCCTCCTCCAGAAGCACCTGGTTCCCCCATATGGCCCCTAAATAGCAATATAAATTCATAAAATGTATTCCTGTTGGAACAAATGGGTTCTGTATATTATTTTCAGTTAAATTTGTTCAATTAAAAGCACGATGTTTTTTCAGTTGAAAACAGTGAGCGATTGACGGAGGCGATGACCCAATTACGACTCTTGAGATCGATTTGGATCCGTCAAACACAAATCTTGAATCGAAGAGCCTGTTCTCGGGGTTCCGCTATTTCTTAAAAAAAAAAATCTCTCACACGTTTTTATATTTAGATTTGAGCTCGAGAAATCTGCGTGTTAAATTATTTTTTAAGTATGATATTTAAAAAAAAGGAATTTCTCTATTTTTTTTCTCACTCGGGTATTTTTTATTTTTTATTTAGTTTAAGGAATTTTCGTGTTCATTTTTTTTAAGTATGATATTTGAATTATTTTCCCTCTATTTCTCTGATATTTTTTCTCTCACTCTCGTGTTTTCATATTTGAAGTATAATTTAAGGAACTTGTGTAAATTAGTTTTTTAAGTATGATATTTAAATTATGTTCCCTATATTTATCTGATTTTGCTTTCTCATGGTTCTTTTATATTTTAGATTTAGTTTAAGGAATTTCCGTGTTAAATTATTTTTTTTAAGCATGACATTTGAATTATGTTCCCTCTATTTCTCTGATTTTTTTTTCTCTCTCTCTAGTGTTTTTATATTTGTGTATTTAGTTGAAGGATTTTTCGTGTTAAATTATATTTTTATGTATGATATCCTCTATTTCTCTAATTTTTTCTCTCATGTTCTTATATTTTAGATTTAGTTCGAGAAATTTGCGTGTTAAATTAATTTTTAAAGTATGATATTAAAAAAAATCCGCAATTTCTCTGATTTCTCTCTCTCTCTCTCTCTCTCTCTCTCTCTCTCTCGCTCGCTCGTGTTTTAATATTTTAGATTTATTTTAAGGAATTTGCGTGTTAATTTTTTTTTAAGAATGATATATAAATTTTGTTCCCTCTATTTCTCTGAGTTTTTTCGTCTCTCGTGTTTTTATATTTTAGATTGAATTAATAAATTTGCCTGTAAATTCTAGTTTTACACGCTCTCTAGCCATATGATCTGTGTGTTGGTTGAGGTCGTCCCAACAGCTGAGGCTGCGAACTGGAGGCGAGCCCTTCCTCCGGCGAGGGGGTGTCATCTCCCCCTTCGTCCGGCGAGCTTCTGTTAGCGGAGGGCGGAGGACAGGGGGCGGCTTCCGTTCTCCCTTCGGGATTCTCTCTGTGGCGTGATCTCTGATGCATGAAGATTTGGTCTGGGTTTCCCTAGATCTCGAATGTTATTGATTCCCCATTGTGGAGATCTTGTCCGTGGAGGAGTGCGACGGGGATGGAAGAGTACGCGGAGGAGCTGCGGACTCCACCTGTGGCGTTGGTGTCCCTGGTAGGGATGCCTGAGCTGCACCAGACAATCTCCGCGTCCCTTCACTCAGAGCAGCCACCCATCAACACCCTCGCGCTGCCGGATTTCGGCAAGATTTCAATTATCGCCCCGAAAGTTAAAGAAGCCGTTGATTCTGGGCAGTCGGCGGCCGGGATACTGAAGAGGGAATGGCTGGCGAAGCACCGGACGAGGGTGCCCGCAGTTGTCGCCGCCCTCTTCAGCTCCGACGGCGTAACCGGTGACCCTGCACAATGGCTTCAGGTCTGCACCGATCTTGAAAACGTGAAGTATGGATTCTTTCCTCTTCGAATTCTTCATATTTTACTGCTTCCATCACGTATGATTTGCGAGGTTCGTTTCAACTCGCTCTGAATTTTGTACTTCACATTTCTTGCAAGTTCGCGTTTGGGTTCGACCAGTTTCGGTTGTTGCCTCTCCATGTCTTCCTCCCTACCCGGCGGAATGTGCTAACTAATGCTTCTCATATTGAAAATTCTTTGTCAGCCGGATCTTTTATAAGGAGAACTGTAGGAACAAGCGACACATCCCCATCACCGTATAATTTTCGTGTTTATGACGTTGAAATGACGAATACTTCGATCTCAATTGGAAGACATCTGTCGGTATTTCGAACTCTAAATGAGGTGTCAAATGGTCCTTGATTCGTTCATTGACAACAATGAAGAAGGCTGATCGTCGAACTCAACCTGGCTCATTTTTTCCAGGTTCTCTTCCACATATCCTCTTCTAACATTTACAATGAATATTTAACAAGTAGATCTAAGAGATCTTCAAGCTCTCTAACCTTGGGTGGTGCTGGCGGTAGATAAAAGTATTCTTAGTCTCGGAAAACACCTTCCCTTTTTTTTCGTTTGTTTAGGCAAAGAATATATCTTGGAAACTAAAATCGCTATTCGAGTGCAAGTTGACAGAAGGGGAATACAAAGTTGATGCTCGACATTCTGGAACCCTTTCAGATCTGAACGTCTAACACTAGACCGTATGGTGGAAAATATTTACGAGATCAAGCAGGTGCAATGAATGGTGCAAAAACGTGGCGGGATTGTTGAGGATGATCATGTTCTTGAGAAGAGAATCAACAAGACCATAAGAAAGGGTTGGGGATAAAATATATTGTCGATTAAATATTTTTGGAGTCTTTATTCGGAGGAAAGGGTTGGATCCCATTCTCTGGTGGATTGCATGCCTCTGCACATTGCATAGCTTGTTTATCAAGTGCGTGGAAAGTGGGTAACTGAATGGTCTTTGCTAGAGATGCTGTTGAGCATCCCCATACTTCTATTACACGTTGCTGATCAATTTTTCAAGATAGGATATCATGACGTTTTTCCCTACCCGAAAAAGAGGTTATGTGATGTAATTTGAGAAAGGACCAGAGCTGTGTGAGCTTATTCAATGTTAGATGTGCTTTCAGCAAGTTTCTTGCATGCTAGTTAATGGATAATACTGACGTTCAACATCAAGTTTAATTTGCTGCAGAATCACTTCTTCGTGAGTTTTTTCTGAGGCTGTTACTGCCGACAGCCTCAGAAAGTCTCTTCCTGAAATTTCAATCAATTTGGTCATATATCTTTCAGCATGGAAATTATTAAATGAGCCGAAATATGCAATGGTTTGAAGTGGGAAATGCCTTGTTTGCTGTGCGTCGTTTCACACCCTGTATTAGTGAGCAAACTTGCTAATGGATGTATTGTACAGTTTTTGCTGTGTTTGAGCATCGAAAATACTATTTTATCATAAATCACATTCATATTTGTGAAGGTTAAGCTCATACATCTTTGGTTTGACTTCACCTGAGAGCATTGGTACCTTTAGTTTCCTGCTGGAAGCATTGTCTGTAATTGCATAGTCTGACGTGGCACAAACATCAGTGGTTGATTATGTTAGTAAAAAAATATCTCGTAGATCATGATTTACATCTAACTCTTGCTTATTCATTCCCTGCTGACAGGGCTGTGGTTCGTGGAAGAAATATTAAGTTAGTTGTGGTGATTGTGCAATCAAGTCTCAGAGGTTAAGATACTCCTTGTTGAATAACTATCATCTTACTAAACTTTTGAAGCATTTGAATTTTTTTTTAATAAGTTATGCTTCTCATTTACATGATGCATTTTAACCTAACAATCTCATTGCTTAATGCCAATATTTTGACTTGTGGACAGAAAGTGTTAACTTTATTACTTATGCAGATGAGGTCAGTGATGATCATATGACTGCTTTGAAAAAGCGTGGAGAGATAGATTCCAAGTACATTACCACATTTTTGCTGAGTGATACGTTAGAAAAAAGAAAGTCTCTCCAGAGGTCTGTCAGATATTTATTTTATTTTAATTCTCCTTTACTCTGATTTTGGGGGAAGGGGGATTATCACAAGTTTAAAAAATAGCATTATTTCATTTTTTATATTTACTGATGTGTTGTACATTGAATTTTCATAGTCTGACGGTCATTAATGCTGGCAGATTGGCCGCCATGTTTGCGGAGTTATCTAACACATATTATAGAGAGGAAGGAAGGAGGATTAAAACCCGCATAGAGAAAAAGAGCTGGAATTGTGCCGAATTGCATATTCGTTACTGCTTTAAGGCAAGGTTCTTTCTTTTGATTCAGCACTATCTATGCTTGGTCATTATGAACCAGAACTCATGGTTGTAACTGTTTGGTAGTTGCATTTTACATATTTTGGCGCTGTAATGTCTATCATTGAAGTGTTATTATCTGTCAATGTTATGTCCTGCTGAGATATTTATGGCGTCTGAAGGTTGTCCCATCTTTGTTTAAGGTTTTCAACATTGTAGCCATAGGTGCTGATTTTTTGAAGTATTGTTTTTTACATTTTTCCCATTTCAATCGAGATAGCTATGTTTTTCGGATTGATTTCCTAGTTCTAAGGTTAGGATTTCGAATTATATCGCCATTTAAACAACCTCAGGATTTGAAAGACAAATTTGACTTATGTTGTCTTTTTAAGTTTACGCAATATTGGGCTTTTTGAAACTTCTTGTTTCAGTATATGCTTTTAGTATGTCTCTGAGACAGAATTTTATGACGACTGTGTAGTTTTTTAAAATCTAGATTGAGAAAGATAGCAGCTGCTTAATTTTGGATCGCCATTTAGTTTACAGCCTCCCAGGTCTCATTGATTGAGTGGGGGTGTGGATGAAGTGGAAGGGAAGTGTGTCTGTTGGCTTCCATCAGTTGAGACAGTGAGGGAGAAGAGAGATTGAGAGAAAAGAAGAGAAGGGGCATCAGTTAAGGGAGTGGATTAATGGAAGAGAGAAGGCAAAACTTGATTCGTGGAGAGGGAAGAGTGTGAGAGAAATGAGGGACGGTTGCCTTAGTTGTGGCCTTGGAGTCCTTCCAGAGGGAGAGCAAAAGTGACTATAGTGGAAAATGGCTGAACGGTATTATTATCGTCTATGGGCCTGTCTGTGAAAGGATAAACAGGGTTTCGATATTTCCACTTGAGCATAGAAAGGAGTCTTGCTGCTGATGTTTTGGCCTCATGTCGCAGTTAACTAGAGAGCCTCTCATGCGAATTGGAGGATGCACATTCGGGAAGATTAGAGGAAGGAAGGTTGGTAGAGGTAAAGAGAGGAGAGGAAAAAAGGGTAGAACATAGGCACATAAGAGTTCATCAATGCCAGTAATCTGTACATCGTGTCAGGGCATAGAGACTTTGAAATCCTCCTGAAAATGATCACTGGACTGCTTTATTGAATGAAACATATTTGTAAGAGATATGTCTGTTCTTGACTTTATATTCAGAATCAGATTGCTGGAAATGTGAACCTTAAATTCTCATTTTAAAATACATTCTTTGTTGGATATTTTAGTGATTAGAATACGTTTGAGCATTTAGTGCGTCAGTTTTTAACCAAATAAATGATATCAAGACTGTCATTTACAATACACAAGTTCGTATTGTGTTTACCAACAATCATAGAAACTTACAATTTGATTAGGCATGATGTATCTCAATGTAAATAAAGAACGTATACATCGACTCAGTTTGTAAATCTACTCTGTAATAATGTTGTTTTACATTGATCACCATGGAAATCCATTACATAACAACTTAGTATGTAGAACAATTTTGTGCCACGTAAGATGTAAAACACAGTAACTAATGTATACATTAACCAGACCACACAAAATGGCTTTGGATGCGTCCAAGAAGTTATCAGAACTTTGGCATGTTCTAGGAGCACATTCTAAATTGCGCATTTATAAAACAAGCAAAAAATAAATGTAAGTTAAATTTAGGCATATTAATTAATGAATTGTTTTTCTTTCCTTGGTTGAACTGTCAGGTTGCCGTCTTTGCTGAGTTTCGGAGGGATTGGGCCGAAGCTTTAAGGTTCTATAATGATGCTTATGGTGGTCTTCATGAGGTGATACGTTCTTTCTAATTTTTGGCCTTTAGTATTGTCAATTAATTGATTAATTTTGTTTTCTTCATTGGGAAAAACCCAGTTAGAACCTGAGACCTCGGCGTTTCCAAAAAAATTGGCTACCTTCGGTTTACCCATTTACTTCTCATCTTATGTGACGTATCACCAAACTGAGTGCAAACATTGTGGACAAGAAATTTCGCACCACCAGTTGCTCGTCCACCATTTAGCAGTCGGTTGAATTTGAACTTAGCAGGCCCTGGGTTATATGCAGCGTCAGAACTTTTGGTTGTCTCAGTGAAGCCTGGAGAGGGATAGTTTTTGGATTAACTTGGGTCAAGATCTTTCTAATCCTGGCCATTTAGCTGGTGAAAAAATGGAAAAGAAAGGAGAGGAAGAATAAGTGAAATATAACTGTTGTTGTTGTTGTTGTGATATCTAGCCACTTGACTGAAAATTACCAGGCTTATTCTGCAGTCTTAATGTGCCTTGGATATAACTGCCCCCCCTTTGTTCATTCTTTTATTCCATCTACTCAAATTTCCGGCTCAAGATATTGGAGATGAAACCTGTTACTTTTCTTCTTGGAGAAGATAACAATAAAAATCTTCAGAACTCAAACTAGAGAATATATCATGGTTTTTACGGACACTACTTGACTGTCATCTCTTTAGACAAGTTGTTACCTTGGTTCATCTTCTCGAGCATGAGATGTTTTGGTGCTATGATGATTATAACTTAAGGGCAGCAAGAAAACGTTCACCAAGGATTATCTACATACATATCGTTTTATTTCCTTTATAACAATGGACAAAGCGGAGCATCGTTCATGTTTTGCTACTATAACATCTTTTAGAAGAAAACTAATAGTGGATCTTGTTCGTATGAATCCTTGAGACTGATTGTTCAAGTTTTATGTCTAGATGTTTGGGGCACCAACAAAATTGCAACCGATCCAGAGACTAGTCGAGATAAAAACCGTTGCTGAGTACCTTCATTTCAAAGTATCGACACTATTACTGCACGGTGGCAAAGTCGACGAAGCAATCAAATGGTTCCACAAACACATTGCGAGCTGCGAACGGCTCGTGGGCCTGCCAGAGGTTGCCTTTCTTCACTGGGAATGGATGAGCAGGCAGTTCCTGGTATTCGCAGAGCTTCTAGAGACGAGCTCTGCAGTTATTCCCAGCTCTGTTTCCGCAAACTCTGGTGCATCCGGCGCCACTTTGACCGAGTGGGATTTCCAACCAGCTTACTATTATCAGGTATCCGTGTTTGACTTACTAATAATAGACCATAGAGAGTGCGCCATCTGTCCTTTTATTTTATCCCTCTCTCTCTCTTCGTCCATATTGTTCAACACTGCCCTTGCTTAAAATTTTATCATCATTAAGAGTTTCTCCCTGCATATGACTGATAGTAGGAAGCCATCTCCCCTGCCATTTCTTGAATTCAGATGTCAGCCCACTACCTGAGAAAGAAAAAAGACAGCTTGGAGGCATCTCTATCAGCTCCGGAAACCTCCGAGTGGAGAAACCCAAGTGAAAGCACCGCCCTGGAATCCATCGTGCCCTCCATATTTGTGGGCCAATTCAGCCGGGTACTTGAGGAGGGCGACTTGCTAACAACGCTGCCGTAAGCTCTCGACCAGCAGCTCATCGCCTGGATCGTCTCTCCTTCTCTGACTCCCCATTCACTGTGGCATCCATATCTTTCTGCAGCGTTGCAGATGCAGAGTACGCCAGCTATGCCCTAGCCGAAGCAAAGAGGTTCCAGGACTCCTTTGAGATCATCGCTCTGTATAGAAAAGCCTCGGAGTCCTTCACCGCCTCGAAGGCCACCAGGATGGCTTCCTTTTGCAGCAACAGGATGGCCAGAGAATACTACGACACTGGAGATTTCACAAATGCAAAGAGGATTCTAGATGATATCGTGGGTCTCTACAGGAGAGAGAGATGGGTGGCCCTCCTCTGGGAGGCCCTCGGCTACCTGCGGGAGTGCTCTCGGAAGCTGGGCCTGCTCAAGGAATTCGCAGAGTACTCTCTGGAGATGGCCGCCTTGCCGCTGACTGAAGCTCCCAATGGCGGCGGTCTTTCCCAAAGAGGGGTGATACAGGAAGAGGTCCTGGGTCCCATAAAAGGGGAAACTTTCATGAAGGTTGACCAACCCATTGACCTGGAGGTCGACGCGGTCAGCCCCCTCAGGACGGTGTTCCTTGCTTCCGTCGCCTTTCACGACCAATCTGTCAAGCCGGGGGCTCCTGCAACGCTCACATTGTCTCTTCTCTCTCGGCTGCCGCAACCCGTTGAGATTGACCAGCTGGAGATCCAGTTCAATCAGCCCGCCTGCAACTTCACCTTAAGCAGCAGCACAGTGAAGAACCAGCTCTCTTCCTCAGAGGAACCCCCTCCTCCTTTCCTCCTCACCCCCGGGAAGTGGCTCCGCCTGACCCATGAAATCCAATCGGGTATCTCCCTCTCTCTCTCTCTCCCGTCTCTCCCTCTCTCATTCTCTCTCCAGAGTAACATGAGAATTGGGTCTGTTCCTGATTGCTGCAGGCCAAAGTGGGAAGCTCGAGTGCCTATCGGTGGCGGCGAGGATAGCTCCATGGTGCAGGATACGCTGCCAAGCTGATAGCCCCGCGTCAATGGAGGCATCACCATCGCCATCACCCCACTGGAAGATGCTCGACGAGGTTCAGAACTCCTCCACTGGCGACCCCATCCTCTCCGCCGCCGGCCAGAAGATCATCCAAATAGAAGAACCCGACCCACAAGTCGACCTCATCTTGGCCTCTTCGGGGCCTGCGCTGGTCGGAGAGATCTTCTCCGTCCCAGTTTCAGTGATCTCCAGAGGCCACTCCGTCTTCTCCGGCGAGCTGAAGATCAACCTTGTGGATGCCAAGGGCGGCGGCCTGATCACTCCCCGGGAGGCGGAGGCCGCCGCCGGCGACGGCCACCATGTGGAGCTTCTCGCCGTCTCCGGCACCGGCGAGGAGGAGGACGACGACGATATCAAGAGGATCCGCCATTCCTTCGGGCTGGTTGCTGTTCCGACTCTCGCCGCCGGCGAGTCCTGGTCGGGGAAGCTGGAGATCAAGTGGCACAGGCCCCGGACGGTGATGCTCTACGTCTCCCTCGGCTACTCCACCTCCTCCGGCGACGGTGGCGGCTCCGCCGGTCAGAGGGTGAACGTCCACCGGAACCTGCAGATCGAAGGGAAGACGCCGCTGGTGCTCAACCACCGCTTCATCTCGCCGTTCCGCTGCGAGCCTCTGCTGGTGTCGAAGCTCAGGCGGCGGCCCGACGGCGGCGGCGGCGGCGGCGGCGACCCGACGACGGTCTCTCTTCCTCAGAGCGAAGCGACGGTACTCATCGTGAGTGCTCTCAACTGTTGCGACGTGCCCCTGCGGTGTGTTTCTCTCTCCGTGGAGGATCCAGACGGCGGAGGAGGAGGCGGTGCCGCCGTCCAGGCCGCCGTCCGGCACGGCGCCGCCGCCATCGCCAGCGAGGTGGTCGCCCCCGGGGAGGAGTTCAAGCAGTTCTTCTCTGTGGTGCCACCGTCCGAGTCCCCTGGGCTCGAGCTGGGCCACGTCTGTCTGAGATGGACAAGAGACGCCGGCAGCGGCGGGGGAGGAGGAGCGGACTCCGCCGTGGTGGTGAGGCAGAAGCTGCCGGAGGTAAAGGTGGAGAAGCCGCCGCTGGTAGTGAAGCTGGAGTTCCCGCCGTACGCTGTCCTGGGGGATCCGCTCACCTTCCACGTGAAGGTCCAGAACCAGACCAGCTTCCTCCAGGAGATCAAGTACTCCCTCGGCGACTCACAGAGCTTCGTCTTCTCCGGGCCCCACCAGGACAAGGCCTCCGTCCTGCCCAGGTCAGAACACGTGGTCAGCCACAAAGTCGTCCCTCTGGGGTCCGGCCCCCAGCGGCTGCCGCATGTCAACGTCACGGCGGTCAGGTATTCGGCCAAGGTCAGCGCCTCGGCCGCCGCATCCACGGTCTTCGTCTTCCCTTCTCCTCCCCATCTGGACCCAGAAGAAGAGGCGAGCTAGAAAGCCAGAGTCACGGTACTCCACCTCCATGTGACGTTCATAATTTGTTGCTTATTTTTGCCGGTTAGTTCTCCGAATCGTCCGATTTTATGCCAAAAAAGGAAGGGAAAATTATATTCTTCAAGATCTTTTTCTTTTTCTTTTTCTTTTTCTTTTTTTCTGTGCCTCTCAATGGGAATATATCCAGACAGACACCAAGAACATAAATGCCCTTCCTGATCTTGATTGAGGTCGCCATCTTCAGCCTCTGCTAGGTGAACTTGAACGATGAGACCGACTGCAAGAACCACCGGTTTAGGTTCCCAGATTGTGGGAATGGCAAAGAAGGGAAAGCTAGAAATCCCTCTTGTCTCACCTTCTCGATCTGTGTCTTGAACTTCTCCGATTCGTCCTCGAAGAACTGAGGAAGATCATCAAAGCCCATTTCATGAGAGAGAAAAACGGACAGAGAGAATTAAAGGGGGTTCATTTCGATACCTGCCCGGTGACGGTGTACAGCCTGTTGTACCAGCCGTTGTTGGCCATCCCAACAGCTGATATGATGTGCCTCTGCCTTTCTCCCGGATTCTGCAGCGTGTATTCAATGTAATACAGCCCTGATAATGGAGGAGAGAAGGAGATCAAATCACTGGTGAACAGGGTAGAGAGAGAGAGAGAGAGAGAGAGAGAGAGGGATTACCATTCCTAGCCTTGGAATCTATGAGCTTGGCAGCCAGACCAGGGGGCCTCTTCCAGCTTCTATCCAATCCATTCACCTGCTCATGAACGAGGCCCCACGCATTTGAGAGAGCCCAGGATCAGATGGGCGAGGAGGGAAGAGGGGAGAATAATGTACCAGATTTTCCGCAAACTCATCTACTTTGCCGAACGACTCCAGCCGGGTAAAATCTGGGCCTATCCCGGTGATAACAACGCTGACTGAAGAAAGCCACCGTCTGTGTTAAGTTCATCAGCAATTTACCAAAATGGGCGACGAAGCTGGGTGTTAGTAGTACCATTAGTGTCAGAAGCCGGCTCAGGGAAGAACGCGGTGACTGATTTGATACCACTGCTCTCGCCTGTGCCCGCCAGCCATTCTGCATACGGTGCTCGTTAGTCTAGAGGTCCAATTAATGGTAAGAGAATCATGTTCTCACAGCTCAGACCCCATGGGAGAGGAACTAAGCAACCACCTGAAAGGAATTTCATCTGAAGTCCCCCATATTTTAAGAACACTAAACATGGATTTAATTTCAGACATCAACCGTTGTTTTACATGCGGTTGGGAAATTTTAGATGTATAATGCTGCCGGAAATTCAAGATCGAAGCGTAACTGGTATTAATGGTGATAATGATGAAATTGATATGATTCTGATGATGATTTGGTGAACCTAATATGAGGAAGATCTGGAGGATGGTTAGAAAAACCCTGAAGATCGGACGGGCAATCTGGGAAATTTTTCTAGATCTGACTACGGAGAAGATGATCTGAAGAAATGAGATTCGATCTACTGAAAATTCGATCTAATGGTGCCGGTTCCTTTCTTTGCGCACTATGGATAAGCTTCTTTGGACTGCAAAAAAAAGAAGGGCGAGGGGGGAGATGATTCTCGCGTTTTACCTTGAGGGACTGGTATCTCGCGTTTTTCTAGATTCAACATCGAAGCACAGCTGATATTAATGGTGATAATGGTGATATTGATATGATGATGATGATTTGGTGAAAAAAAATCTGAAGAAGATCAGGAGGACGGTTTAGAAAAGCTCTGAAGACCGGCCGGGGAATCTGGGATTTTTTTCTAGATTTGACTGCGGAATAGATGATCTGAAGAAATGAGATCTGCACAAAAAAAGGGGGGGATGATTCTCGCGTTTTACCTTGAGGGACTAATATCTGGAACTTGTTAGTCGCATCATCGTAAGTTCGGAAGTTGGAAAAATCTGGATACAGAAAATGCCAACTATGTGAACAACATTGTAAGGAGGAGAGTGATCAAATATCTCAAGTACAAGCGGATAATTATATCAGATAATGAAACCTGAACCGGAGAGCTACCAGTTTCCGCAGAAGCGCCGGAAGCAATTGCCGGAGAACTAATCGCGGAAAACAGGATCTGTAACAAGGTCTGTCTCCTAGTATTTCCAGAATCCTCGTCTAAGAGATTCTCTGGCCCCGAAGAGCAAGCCACCTTCCTTTAATTCCAAAAAAAAAAAAGGAGACGAATCAGACTAGATGGCATCCACGAAGAACTCCTGCAGCCGAAGATTGGGAACAACTAACAATCTAGAGCCACGAACGGCACTGGATTTCGCAGCGCAGGCAATGGACGGCCGGCCTCTGCGGCTGGGAATGGCTGCACGAGGAAAACAAGAGCAAGGCCGTGATTAGTCGGCATAGAGCGGCGGCGGCGTTCAGTATTGGCGAACCGTGCGAAGACCTTCTCCGGCGGAAGCAGCGGCGATGGAGCTGCCTGGTAGAGCGCGCGTCGCCGGAGCTCCCACTGAGAAAACGGCCGCCATCAGCCCGCGTCCTCAAGATTTCCAGAAACAGAGTACCTCTATCCACCCAATAATCTATGTTTATATTATCCCTGGGGTGTTAATGGGCCATATCATGCTGAGTCATATTTTAGACTATATTGGCCCAATAGAGCCCATACTTCAACACTGACGGATGTGTGGGCCGGGACCATATGTATTTATGGGTCAACTTTAGAACCGAATGTAATATTCATATATGTATCATCCATGAGGTGTTGATGAGCCATAATTTTACGAAGATAGGCCCAATAAATGCCTATATTTGAACATGACGGATTTTGGGCTGGGCCCACTTTTAGTTATGGCCCAAAGAGTTTATTATCCCTGGTGCTGATGGGCAAGGAGCAGACCGATACCGATTTTCCTTGCGATGCCCGGCCCGATAAGAAGCCCAGACTTGAACCTGACGGGTTTTGGGCCCAGCCCGTTTGTACTTATGGGCTACATGAAGGCGGCTAAGCAGCGGGAGGAAAAAGAGAGAGAGAGAGAGAGACGGGAGGAGTTCTTCAGGTGGAACGGTAGATCGTGAACGGACGGCCGGGATTCGCCCTCCCCCATAATCTATGAGCGTTTTCGTTCCTTCATCTGTCTCTTCTTCCTCCGCATATTTCCTCTCTTGGTTTCTCACTCTAGAAGGTCGATTGATGGGGAGAGAGAAAGAGAGAGAGAGAGAGAGAGACAGCCATTTGTAGGAATTATGAAGTAATTGGACTTGGGCTTGTTATGCTTGTTGGCCCAAATCCGGATGAAGAATTTTGCCATATATTGGGCCAAAGAAAGGCCTCATTGACAGTCCAGCCCATAACGTCGGCCCATCGAGATTTTTCAAAGTTCAGGGCAGGGCCCAAATCTCACAGCGAAAGTTCTGCGGGTGCACTAGACCGCCGCCCTGGAAAAATAGAATGCGGCCGTCCCGCCAATAAACCAAAAGGGTATATCAATAAGAAAACTTATATACACATTATCTTCTTACGAGAGAGAGAGAGAGAGAGAGTTAGCAACCCAATGTTCCGCGGGTGCACCAGACCGTGGTCCTACAGAATAGCAGGAGTCGGAGGCGCTCAGAGGCGGTCGTCCGGCCAATAAACCAGGATGGTATATCAATAAAAAAACCCTTATATACACTATCTTCTTATGAGATAGAGAGAGAGAGAGAGAGAAGATCGTTGACGCGAGGTTGACCGGGCGTTGGGAAATTAATGGCGGCAGAGGAACTGTAGCTTAGATTTGCCGGCCTACGAGGGCGTAGGGACGGCCGGGTTCTGTTCACCGGCCAGGGGTTGCAGAGGAAGGGAGGGAGGGAGGGAGAGAGGGGGCACCAGAGGAAGAAGAAGACGAATGGGATAGACGAGACCCAGGAGGAGGGCCGAAAGCTGCGCGTCCAACGCGCACGAGCGGGCGCCGTCTGGTCACCTCGGCACGTGGGCCGCCGGGGAGAAGGGGGACGGCGATAGCCCTGCGCCGTTCCCATGCAACCGCTTTGGGATCGCCCATGCCGGAGATAGATCGTCTTTCTTCCTCAGATGGAGATATTAGGGCAGATGATTGTCGCCATTATTGGTTTGCCGAGAGAGAGAGAGTTGCTAGTTCAGATGGTTGTGGTGATCGATCTCTGATTGAAGGACTGGAGACCTGGGACAGTAAGGCTTTCCCGGAATCCCCCAGACTGGCCTAAGCTGGAACAGTGACCTCCGGACCTTGGTTTTCCACCGCCCTCCGCCTCTACAGCTTCCTTAAATGGAGGCGACTCCCGTGGGGCTAACTCCGAGATACAGAAACGAGCCGATTCTCTCTCTAAAGCCTAGCTCTTCTTCGCTTTCAGTGTTCCCTCCTCTCCCATTCTCCCGACACATACACTCTCTCTCTCTCTTTCTCTCTCTCCGAGTTCTCGCTCTTTGCTGCGTGTATTCAATGGGGGAGGTTGTGTGGGAGATGCTGGAGGATAGGAACGAGCAGGGGCTGCCGCCGGGGTTCAGGTTCCACCCGACCGACGAGGAGCTCGTGACGTTCTATCTGGCCGGGAAGGTTCTCAACAGGGGCTTTCCAGGCGTGGAAATGGCGGAGATTGATCTTAACAGATGCGAGCCGTGGGAGCTCCCAGGTAAGGGTCGTGCACTCGTCTTCTTAGAGAAAGAGAGAGATGTTTCGTTTTCCGATGATTTTTGTGAAACGATGACTCGCGGCGTGTAATGAGCTCTTCTAAACGCCGGTTCTTAAACGGTTTCGACGCTCGCTCTCTCTCTCTCTCTCTCTCTCTCTCTCTCTCTCTCTCTCTCACTCAGCATCACTGCGACGCCTTTTCCCTTGTTCTCGCTCCGTTTCTTCCTCCATTAACCTAGGTGTCTCGTTCTATTATTCTGGTGGAAGGAACTCGAGGGTGTCCTCTCTCTCTCTCTTCCTTCAGGAGTTTCTCTCGAGATAATTCGTTTCCCATGTTCTTTGTTATTTAGGACTTTATGAAATGAATGCACGCAGCTCTCTCTCTATCTCTCTCTCTCTCTCTCTCCAGCTAGATGGTTCTCCTTTTCATTCTGGACTTTACGAAATGAATGCCCCGCAACTCTCTCCCTCTCTCTCCCTCTATTTTTCCGTTTCCGGGGTTCTCTGAAGGCTTCTCTCTCTCTCTCTCTCTCTCCCTCTCTCCCCCCGCCATGAATGAAGACGAAGCAAAGCTCGGGGAGAGAGAGTGGTACTTCTACAGCCTGCGGGACAGGAAGTATCCGACAGGCCTGAGAACCAACAGATCGACGGTCTCCGGCTACTGGAAGGCCACCGGCAAGGACCGGGAGGTCTACTCATCCTCCGGCGCCCTCCTCGTCGGCCTCAAGAAGACCCTCGTCTTCTACCTCGGCCGGGCCCCCCGCGGCGAGAAGACCAAGTGGGTTCTTCACGAATACCGTCTCGACGGCGACTTATCTCTCCATGATCTCTCGGTCTCTCTCTCTCTCTCTCCCTCCCTCTATCTCCTCTCTCTCCCTCTCTCAAACTGGAAACCACGAGTTGAGCCCCTTCCGGTTTGGCGTTGCAGGATGAATGGGTGATCTGCAGGATATTCCACAAGACCGGAGGGAAGAAGAAGAGGCTGTTTCCTTCTCACAGCCGTCGCCGCAGCAGCCATCTCCTGCAGCCCTCGCCGTCGGGCTCCGCCGCTCCGCCGGCGCTCGCAGGAGCTCTGCAACTCCGCCGCCAGGACGACGGGCATCTACTTCTTCCTCCTCGTCCTCCTTCATCTTCCGACCAGCCTTCCTCTTCCCTGCTGAACCAGAACTCCGTCTGCTTCCCTTCTCGGCAGAGCGAAACAGAGGAGCTGTTTTCTGCCCTAATAGGCTCCTTTCCCGTCTTCTCGTGGGACTCGTGGGATTCCTTGGAACACTGCGTCATGACGCAAAAGGGTTGACGATGACGATCGGCAAGGTCTCCGCGTGGAGATCTTCCTCCTCCCTCTTCTTCCTCGCTCACTCTCTCAGTCTTGTACTATTCTGCGAGTCTCCCGGAGAGAAGACCTTCCGGCTCCTGGAGAACATTAATGGAGTTCGTGTTGCCTGGTTCCATCTGTCACCTCGGCTCTCCCTCTCCCCCCCTCTCTCTCTCTCTCTCTCTCTCTCTCTCTCTCTCTCTCTCACCCCCTCTCTATCTCTCCCTCTCTCTCTCCAACTCTCCCCCTCTCTCCCTCCTCCCTCTCTCTCTATCTATCTCTCCCCTTCTCTCTCTCTCCTTCTCTCTCTCCCCCCCTCTCACCCCCCCTCTCTCTCTCTTTCCTCCGTCTCTCTCCTCTTCATGACCTTCTCAATCCGTGTATCTCTCCCCCTATCCATGTATCTCTCTCTCTCTCCGTCGGACGAAGTAGACGTGTTTTCTTGATAAAAGTGTCTTAAATCAGCGTCAATTCAATAGTGACGTAAAATAGCGCACTGGTGATTTATGAAGTACGTGTCCGGATTTGGTCAACGGGGGAGGCGTTTCCTTAAATCTTTACAGACCGGGCGAAATCCGTACCCTAACGACCAGTGCAGGAAGTCAATGCGCCACGTGTACCATAATTCACCTGTAAATAAGCCGAAGGCTACCTTGCCTTGTACCGATTCAAGATCTTTAATTAACCCCGAAAATTTTAAAAATTTACCGTGACAATTAACCTGCCCATCGTGCGGTCGATACGCTTTGCATCCGACGACTCTGACGATTTCAAATTAAAATAAGATCGAAATAAGAAAATTCACGATCAGTTAATTTTTTTAAAGAGCTGATTTACGGAAAAACCCGTTTAAATTAATTTCCTTGCGAAAACCCGGAAAAAATGGGAACCTTTCTATGTGGACGTGGGGTGGGGACGCTTTCACTCAATCAAAATCAAGTGAGGATTGTCAATTATGAATAATCCACCTTTTTCATGCCCGCCTTTTCCCGGTCAAACCGGGGACATTTCGCATCCTGCTGTGGGCCCCATAGTCGCGGTCAAAATTGAGGGGTTTTCGGCACTTTACCGAATTATCCACGACGACAAAGATTACCCTATTTATGTGTATAAGGAAGTGGGGCCTAAAGGTATCGTGTCAACCCAAGCAGAGCTTCAAGTTGCTCTGGTCTGGGGGTAAAGTCGGCCCCACCGTCGCACTGGGGTACAAATAATATCCGTAGACCAAAACAGATCGCAGCCGTCGATTCCCGCACGATCTTCGGTCAAAACGGCGCCAATAAATCGGTGAAAACCGGTTCGAATGACGACCAGGAGGGCCCCTGCGACCGCCGACTTCGCAGACCCCGCCGGCGGTCGAGATCAAGAATCATTTTTACCACAATCTTCAGAAACCTAAGTAAAAGATTCTCATCTTCCTCTACCACGATCGAAATCGCCTTCTCGTTTGTAGGCCGATTCGGGACCACCCTGCTGGATAAATGCTCCCCCCTCTCCAGAACTAAGCATGAAACGACTAGTCCACAAATCTCTAGCGAGAGAGAGAGAGAGAGGCACGAGTCCTTATTGAGAGGGACGGAGACTAACAGCGATGGCACAACAAAAGAGGAACTAGAGACGGAGGCTAGGCGGCGATCCGCAGCGTCTCCGGCGGCAAAACCTTGGGAGACGGGAGAAGAAGATGGCGGCGCCGGGGTGGGCCTAGAACTTGTTGCGGTACCAGAAGACGCCGGCATCCTTGGAGCCGTCGTCGGGCTCGACGTAGAGGCACTCCTTGGCCTCCCTCCACATGGCCTTGTAAAAGGGCGTCCTGTCGAGGCGGTAGTACTCCCCGAGCAAGGGCCGTACGGCTTTGGTGGCCTCCATGGCGTTGTAGTGCGGCATTGTGGAGAAGAGGTGGTGGACGACGTGGGTATCCGTGATGTTGTGGAAGACCTTGTTCAGCACGCCGTAGTCTCTATCCACCGTCGCCAAGGCCCCCCGCAGCCAGTCCCACTCGGACGAGTCGTAGTGCGGCAGCGCTGGGTGGGTGTGCTGCAGGTAGGTGATGAGCACCAGGAACCCGTTCACCACCAGCAGCGGCACGCCGTAGAGGCAGATGACTGTGGCGAGGGAGTAGGCGGCGGCGCAGCGGTAGAAGAGGAACGCGGCGGCGAGTATACTGGCGTCGGAGACGAAGATCTGGAGGCGCTCACGGTCGGAGTAGATGGGGCCGTAGGGGTCGAAGTGACAGGCGAAGGAGTCGTAGTGGCGGCCGGAGATGTTGAAGGCGAGGTAGAGGGGCCAGCCAACGGTGAGGGAGACGAAGAGGGTGAGGAAGCGGCCGGGGGGGTTGTTGAGGTACTTGGAGAACCAGGCGAGCTGGGACTTGGGCTTGGGGACGAAGACCTCGTCGCGGTCGAGGCTGCCGGTGTTGGAGTGGTGGCGCCGGTGGCTGTACTTCCAGGAGAAGTAGGGGACGAAGAGCGCCGAGTGGAGGACGAGCCCGACGATGTCGTCGACGAGGGAGTAGTTGGAGAAGGCGTGGTGGCCGCACTCGTGGGCGATGACCCAGACCCCGGTCATCACGCAGCCCTGCACCGCCCAGTAGAGGGGCCATGCGAGGAGCCGCAGCGGAGCAGGGAGGAGCGGGAGGTAGGCGACGGCGAGGTAGAAGAGGACGGAGACGATGGCGAGGTCCTGGAAGACGAAGGAGAAAGAGCGCACCAGGGAGCGGTTGAAGCAGTGCGGGGGAATGGCCTTCTTGATCTCGCCCACGGTGAAGGGCGGCTTGGCGGTGGGTACCCGGTGGAGAGGGTCCTTGTTGGTCTGTGGTACGAAGTCTCGGCCCTCCACGGACATGCGGCCTCCGGCGCCCATGGCTCCCTCGGCGAGAGCTGCAGGCGGGGGCAGGACGAGTGGTGGTGGTCGTCAGCTTTTTAACACGAGGAAGAGCGTGGATCTTTCGTTTCCCTCCACACGTTTCTCAGAGGAAATATCACGAGCGAGTTTAATGCATTTCCGAACAGGGAAATGCTGGTACCACTCGTCGCGTTTGCAGGATATGTAGAAAAATTTCAGAGCCACGAAAATGCGTGGGATAATGCCAAGCAGGAATGGATTCGACGGCGCAATAGAAATTTTAAAAAAACAGGGTCATTAGGAAAAAGGAATTGCGGCGAAGAGGTTTAATGCACTCTCTAAAGAAATAATAAAAATAACCCATTGCGGCGGCGTATAAGCAAAAGAGTCAGGTTTCATGCTGCTGACAGTTCAGCATTAGAGAGCGAACCAGTGGAAAGACGGGCAAGAAAAAGTCTCCACGGGTCATCGTCGGAGAATCCTGATGGAGATCGGCGAAGTTCGCATCCCCGAGAGGAAGGTGCGAGTGTGGGGCCTACCGATCTACTCGCCAAAAACGACAACACAGTGGTCCAGAGGCATGCGGCTAGGAACAGCAGCAGACGTGGAGACGGGAGAAAGAAAATGAAGAAATCGTTCGCCCCGAAGGTGGATGCGCACGTGAAGGAGGACGAAAGGCCGCCACAGGTTTCAAACGACCAACGCAAGCCGCGCCGGCGGAATTCGGCGACCGGAGACTAAATCCGGGGGGAGAGAACTCTCTTAGGCTCCATTGTGGCCTCACATTTCACGTTCTTCACAATGCTTGACCGACGGGGGGAGAGCCTGCCCAGTCCACCCCAGGGAATGAAAGGCCATAATCAACTACCAAGTTGGGAGAGGAAGACGAACTGGGGAGTAGGGGGCGGGCAGAGGGAAGAGGTGTCAGGGAAATAGGCTCGAGGGCTCTATCCGTAAAAAACCTCCGTTGATTGGGTAACTGCGGGAAGCCGTAAAAAGCCTCTTTCGGAAATATTTGGAGCAGTAATAGAATCATCTCAGACATGAATGAACATTCAACTTGGGAATGAATGTTCCAAGCCGAAGCCTATCTTGAAGACATAGCCAGGTATGAGGAATCGAAGATATTTGGAGCAATGAATGAGTTATCTCGAACAGGAATGAACATCCCTCTTGGGAATGAACATTCAAAGCTGAATCCTACTTTGAAGATGAAGCCAGGACAGAGGAATCGAAGACATTTGCAGCACTAAACGAAGTATCTCAAACAGGAATGAACATCCTTCTTGGGAATGAATATTCCAAGCTGAATCCTACTTTGAAGATGAAGCTAGTTCAGAGGAATCGAAGAGATAACCCCTGCAAGAAGGATAATTGAGGGAACAACATGGAAATACGATAGCGAGGGGAAACATATAGATCAGATATCTGGCGGTAAATGGCGCAATACGAATAAATCGAATAAGCGAATCTCTCCACATTTTTCATTAACCGATCGAATCGACCATCCGATTATCAAAACATATCACCATTCACTCCCCACGTACTCGAAGAAGGCCATTATAAGCAAAACAGAAGACGCGAAAATCGCGTTCCTCCGCTACAGCCCCTAACAAACTCGAACCAACGCACCAAGCGCAACATGAAGAGAAATTAACGAAAGGAAAAGTGCATCAGAGGGAAACGAGAAGCAGAAAATGTACCTCCACACCTGGTAATGGGACAAACAGCCGCCGACTCCTCTCACACTCTCGAGGTGGGTGGAAGAGGCGAGAAGAGAGCTCGGTGAGAGAGAGAGAGAGATGGAGAGAGTGTGTGCGTTCAGATCCGGGAGATCTCCCTGATCGTGAGCAGAAACCCCCACTCCTCCTCTCACTCTGCTCCGCTCCGCTCCCTTCGCCCTTCTTCCCCAGCCTCTGCCGAGAGAGAAGCGCTGTATTTAATTATCTTCTGCCTGCGAGTTTTCTTTTGGCCTCGTGAAGACCAGTGGACCGCTGTGAATTCCCAGGTGGGGGCCCATCTGCTCATTGCCATGTGGCACGTTATGATTGATTCGATCCACTATTTTTTGACGGAGCAATCGATGACGGAGAGCGAATGGTTCAACGTCGCCTGGGAGGATCTGGTACGATTCGGAGATCCGACGGCTGAGATTCAACCGCTAAGGGAAAGTCTGGGAGAATAATAGGTTAAACTACTAAAATACCCCCATCAATAGAGTGGCTGCTGTTAGTGGAGACACGTTCACGGTTTCGTGGCACCTCAAACGTCGCCCACGGGGAGGGCGGCCGCCGCGGCTGCTGACGTGTCGACCACGAAATCCGTTACGGTATTTTAAATATTTATCGGATTTAGTAAATAATTTTCGATTATTAATGCACAAATTACGTGGCACAAATATTTATTTCGTGTCGAATCATTGTAGCAAAAAACTGAACTGACAACTGACATGAGGTGACAGCAGGCAGGCCGAACCGGGCCCGCCCGAGCCCGGGCTTAGACGGACCGGACCGGCTCGACGTATGACCGGGCCGAACCAGGGGAGCAACTTTCGGGCTGAATTTTAAAAGCCCAATATCGGAAGAAACGGGTCTGGGAATATCGGGCTTACCGGACCCAATGGGAACACGTCTTGTATCCGGAAACAGCCAGACAGTGGACACTAGTGTTAACACTACTAGTGGCAGAGCCACATGTGGTGCCATATTTCGTGATAATTACCAATAAATCCCCGGCTTTTCTGACTTTCTCGTTAAGACAGTGGGAATTATGCGACTCTTATTAATTAACCCTTGGAATACATTTAATTATGATTCAACCTTATTAATGTATGATTTAACGCCTAACCCCCCTCCTCTCTCTCTCTCTTCCTCCCCTCGGTGTGAAGACAGCTTTCGTCCAATAATAGGCTTGAGGACACAAAAGATAGAGGAATGAGGGTACTTTAAAGAATTTAAGTGGATTTGTGGGGATGAAATTACAATTGTTGGTTAGTGTTAGGGGAAAGGAAAAAGGTTATCAAATACAAGGTTTGTTGATAACGGGCATTTTTACACTTATTTGGTTCATTCGTGAATGAAAACATATAGTTTCGTAGAGGCTGCTACACTATGTTCTGTTTGGGCATTAATCTCCAGTAACATACATGCCAAATGTTCGATTTAATTGTAGACATACTTCAATTAAAGTGATACTAAATGTGTAAAATAATGGACTCCCAATTATGTCACTTTTGTAATATTACGTGTTAGATGAGAGGATTGTTTATTTATGGAAAAAAACCAAATGATCTCCAGTGGTTTGCTAAAAATTAATTTTCTGATAATTTCCCATAGTTTTTTTTTTTACAGAAACAAATTAACAAATTAATATTACATATTAAACCCACTATTTTTCATGTAAAATAAGGTTCAAATATTATCTATGCATAATTTCAGATCTTAAAGGGGTTATGTGATACACAATGATGAATAATTTTTATTTTTTTATTTATGATTTTTAAGATCATCTATTTAATTATTATTAGATTTTTAAATGAATTTGTACCGGATGAATATCTCAACTTACACCTAAAAAAATAAATAATAATAAGAATTACTATTTTTATCTGTCCATCTTGCCCATGGCGGATATGGCCCGGGGTGCGGCTACCTTCCCACTATCCGGGAAGAGACTGGATTTTATTAATATATATATATATATATATATAATATAAAAAGATTTGAATATTTTACCCCTGATTATAACCGATGAATATCATAAGTAATACGTTCACTTTATTATTTTTTCATCTCGTTTTCGACTTTTTAAGACCGATTCGAAACGACCGCGTTCCCTGCCATCATTTGCCTCGCCGCTGCTCGTCGGAGAACGGTGGTGCGCGGATTCGAAGAAGGTCCGTCGGAGGAAGTCATGATCTTCGTCGACGGGCTTCCTCTCCCCCCTTTCGATTGCGAGCTCTCCTCGGAGGTATCGCTGTCGATCTCTACCTCTATCTCACCATCCATTGGTTTTTCGGCAGCACGCGTTCGTGACGCAATATCTTCCTGTGCTGGGAATTCACACGTTGAATATGCAATAGCAGGGGTATCGGACCTTGAAATCGCTGTTGGAGCACCCGTCGCTTGTCTCCGCTTCGGACCGGCTGAAAGCCATGCCGGAGAGAAAATTATCATCTGTCTCCGAGGATTCCACTGCAGAGAGGTCGGTGCCACCTTTTAAGCACGTCTACGTGTTCCAGAGAGAATATGCAACAGTCGACCCTGGCCTCGTTGAGGTGAGGTTTTGTGGTGGAGAAGGTTATTATTATTTTTTTTCGACACGTTGACGTCCGAATTTTATCAGAGAAGTTTTGTGTGCCTGTGAAAACTGGAATGCGAACTTTCATTTTAACGCCGAGAATCTCATTGCCTACGCCATTCAAAAAGAAGAGTAGGTGTGGTTTGAGAGCTCTCCGCCATTACTTGTTCTTCCATGGCTGGAGAGCTCTCGAGCAATTAAATTTTGACAATGTGAAATCAGAATTCCTTTTTTCTAATCAATATTTCTCAACCCATAATTTTGGTGCGTACATAGTTTGCCGCGCCATTCCCTCTGCACACATGAGTTAGAATCACTTAGATAGTAAGTACGAGATGTAACGTTCTAGGGAAAGCTTTGTCATCCAAGAGATTGAACGCGCTTGTATGCTGCTTTATGTGGAGATTAGAAAAGGAAAACTTGAAGGTTTCGCACTGGTAATGCATTGGTAGAGAAATTTTCTATTATCACATCAAGCTATCTTCTTACCCTCTTTTTATCTCTCCATCCGAAAGCTAGCTGGGACGGACGAAGCAACTACGTGCGTGGGTTTTGTCATTCGCAACCGGGACAGTGGAATGTATGAATTAGGGATTAAAGCTAATAGTTTTAATTTTTATATCTGTATGATTTTGCCATTGATTCTTCTCTTATTAGTATGTGTTCTCAGGATCTCAATTGCTCATCTGGATTCTGCAAGAGTCGTGGATTTAGGCCTTGATCAAATGCTATCCTCCCTTGTTCACGGTGAAGTGGGTGTGCTTGATGTCAGTCTCTCTTCCTCGTGCTTGGCATGTGTGTATAATTTATGTCAAAAATTTAAAAAATATTTTAATGAGTTTTAATGTACGATTTCACAGGTTCATCTTATCGGTGGCTTTCAAGATGCACCTTACAGTGTTCGCACTTGATCTCTTGCCATGTGTTTTCTTTTTCTTTCATTTTTCTAATCATTGCTTTAGGAGAAGTAATGAATGAAGTCAAGCTTGGAGATCAATTTTTCATGCAGGATTCCACTGAGAACAATGCGATCCGTGTTGATAAAGAAGTTGGCCATTCGTTTCCATTATGTTCCAAAATCATTGAAGCTTTGAAGAGCCGGAGTGAACAGTTTCATATCAAGACCTTGTGTGTCCTTGGACATAATACGAAAAGGGATTCGCATGGAAATTCTTTCCCCATCATCAGTGGCTTTTTGGTCGGCTATTTATTCCTTAGCTTTCATTTTTTGTTGTTGAAAGATAAAATTTTCGTTAGATAAATATTTTTATTGACAATAAGGATATATTGTTGCAGCAGCTTTTCTCATCACACTATTTTTGTATTGTCTTATTCATTTGATGCATATTTTCTATTCTGTTATCCTCCTAGAATAATGTAACATGGCTGGTAAAAACACCAATAAAATAAAATAAAATCCCATAGTAGCACGCATACCCATTTTCAGAGTCGAAAGTCGTATGGAAATAAATTTATGAACAGTGATATATTTTTTTCATTTATTTATGGTTCCGACAATATCAAAATTTTTATTGCTATAATGTAAAGCTCATAGCACGCAGATTTATTACTATATAGCTCCCCAAAAAAAAAATGTTAACCTTCAGAAGCTTTGAAAGATAGCCTTGATGCAATTTAGCCCTCAAATTTAAATAGCTTGAGCACTAATAAGAAAAGTCCTCTTTGCACTTGCAGAAATTTGCATTAATTTCTATAGATAATTTAGAGAGTCAGAGGAGTCGTCAAGGGTTAAGTTTGGGGTTGATTCCTTAATTATCGGATTGTATGATTGCTAGAAAGCTGTTCTTTTTTTTTTGGCAAACACGCTGGCAGACAGATACAGGTAAAAATGTGTGAGAGCTGAACATCAACCTCTTGCAGCAAAACAAAGAAGATGGGTTGACCTAGATGACCAGCCACGCCACATGAAATTTTTGAGCACTGATTTTATAAAGAGGAGTCAACTTGTTTAGGGAAAGGGTCAAATTCCAAAATGTTGTTTTCCATAAGGTGCATGAAAATTACAAGGAGGGGAGGACCTGCTTGAGAAGGCACATAGTTGAAAACGCTAGGGAGTTCATCATATCAACTAGACTGAAAACGATTTCGATAAACTAAAAAAATAAAATTACTTGGCGTTTTTTCATTTTCAAAAACATACTAAAAGGTATAATTTCCAGCTGAAATTATTGTTATTTTTGGGCAACACGATAGCGTTGTGTTTTCCCCTTGAACACTAATTTATGTGCTTCCTCTCTAGAAATATAAATGTCCATTAATGTGTCATAAATCTCATCTATGGTCATCGTCCATTGCATAAAACAGCACAGGAACGTGAAGTTTCTATTTATGGGCCGTATTCTTTATTTTCCATTAAATCATGGTATTGGGTTCTGAAGCCTAGAAAAAAAAATGGTCGTGGCCTTCAGGTAGATACGTCTTCTGGATCAGTCATGCCAGCGAGCTTTGACCGGAGTTCGAGGTGTCCAGATGAAATCGTCAGAAGGGTTCGTGTGACTGTATCCTCTGGGGACCCCCGTTGGAAAGGGAAGTTGATGGACACATACGATACTTCTTGCGACAGATTTCTAATCGCTCCTTGCTCATGGTACATTCATTCACCCAATCCTTGTTCTTATTTGGCAATTTTTTTTTCGAGTAAATGAACTTCAGCTTCGTGTTTTCTTTCTTCAATTGTTTACTACCTTGTGGTTCACAATGCCAGCTAAATCACATCTATTTCGGGAAATATTAATTTTAATTTTTTAAATTGTTTCTATCAGTCGAAAAATACTGATTTTATGATGAACATATCCATTATTAGAATCAATTTTGCCATTCCGATTCATTATTTGCGCTATCTTTGTTAAATATCCATATTCCCGTCATTATTATTTTTTGGAAAAATCCATTATTACGAAGCTTTTTTCTCCTAGATATACATTAAATATGAAGAATCTTGGGGAAAAAAAAAGAGCAGCACTGTCCCTGGGGGACGGACGTTGTGAGATAAGAGGGGGTAGAACATGAGTAACCATTAAACTTCCTTTTTCGTCTTAAGTTCTGTCCAACCATTGGCTCTTGACATCATCTGGTCAACCGTATGTGATCTTCCCTTGCCTTCTCACCTTCCTAACGTTGCAGGTCCTTGGGTTGGGCGCCCTTTGCTTCTGAGCTGCTGCAGCTTCCCGATTCAGAAATCCTCTCCCAATGCTCCACGTCGCCCCTTGCTGAGAGCCCTGATTTTGTCGATAATGAACGAAGGTCAGCTCATTCTCTTGGTAATCCGCTGAACGCTGATTGGCTAAGATTCTATCGCTTTCCCAAAGTTTCAAAGTTATGTTTTTTCCTCAATTAAAGGAGGAATAAACCAAGAAAGGAAAGACGGGAGAAATCATGGGTGGGGATAGAAAGTTGACTTTCTTTGTTCTTTCTGCTACCATAGAGCAAAGTAAAACAATTTCAGGTGGTTCATGGGGGGGGGAGATTTTTCCGCCGTTGACTTCTTTTGTGTTCTTCAGCGGCTCTTATGGCCAGATATCCGCCATGAGAGGATTCTAATCCATTTTTGTTTCCCCCTTTGGCAGGGTATTTAATTACTTGATTGAGAACCCCGGTTGGAGGTTGACTTTTTATAAGGGCAGGCCTCGGATCTTTGAGAGGGCGCCCAGCGTGGGATGGACGAGGCGCAGCTAGAGGAAAATAGCACCTGATCCTCTCCGGAGTTGACCCATATCTGCTGAATTATTCAATACGGTCAGCTGAGTTCCTGGGGAAGATCCTTCTCTCTCTCTCTCTCTCTCTCCCCTCCCTCTTCCCCCCGGGTGATATTTTCTAAATTTATCGCGTGCCAAAACCTTAAAAAAAAATCAAGTAGGTATATAAAGAAAAGTGAAAATTATGGCATTGGGGCTCAAGAATGGACCCAATAATAAAATGGGCCCACAGCCAATTTAGGGCTTTCATTTGGGCCCGTTATGTGGCTAACCGGATCCGCCCATCAAGTCGTCTGATAAAATAATAATTTTACAAAATCATATAAATTCTAAGATCCCCCCCAAAAGAAGGAAACATCGACTGAATCTTGAATTATTGGAAAGATAACGCGACATCAAAAAATATTTATTAAATAAATATTATTTTCTATAAAAGGCAAGTACGATGAGCACCAAAATTTGTGCTAAAAAATGTTCTATTAAAGATAATTAAGGGTAATGGTCAAACCTGGAAGTTTCCGAACCGGCGGCCGTACCGACCGTTGCGGCGGCAGGGAGATCCACTGACTTGGCTTCCAGGAAGGACTGTCGCTTTCGATCCCTCCCCAAGGAGGCTGAAGATCGGTGGCGTCGCCTCGGAATCATCGACCTCCCCCCACCTCTCTCCCTCCGATCACTCCCCATTTATGTTGCCCTGCTCCGGCTCTCTGGATCGCCGTCCTACATTTTCCCTTCCCTGAGTGTGATCTGTTTCTTGGTGGAGTAGCAGCGCGGGGAGATCCTACCGGGAGCGGATCCGGTTGGCGGAGAGGTACAGTGGTTTGCGTTCGTCATTTTGGGAGGGAGATTTCCGTTGTTTCTTCCAATGATTCGCCCCGCGGATCCGAGTGCTGGTTTATGCTCTAAAATGTACGATCTACAGTGGATCCTGTGCCTGTTCTTGGTTTGAGAAATGCTCCCTGTTCCGTCGATTGAAATGCGGGAGGAAGGAGACAGTATGCTGCGGTTGCTGGCTGTCCATTTCCTTCGCTTTTGGGGATCCCGGAGGTTTTCTGACTGGGATGTGACGATCCCGTGTTCATAGCTACTTGAGTGGGTTCGTTTTTTGCGGATTTCTGCAGGAACCTAACAGCGGAGAGTGATCGCGTGTGAATTTTTTCTCGATTAAGTTGATGATTGTGGAGATTTTCATCCCAAGGAACGCTTTCTGATTTGTCTTCTTTTTTAGTTCTGTTCTACCCCAGTTTCTGGCGAGCGATCTCTCTTACGTTCCTCGCCATCTTCTTTTACGATCTGAGGACGTCTCGCGCAGGTTTCCTCTGTCGATTACTCCATCGAGGCCATGGCAGCAGCAGCAGCAGCAGCAGCCCCAGGGATGCGGATCACGTCCGCGAGACATCGTGTTTTTTCCACCCGAAAGCTGTTCTCAGCTGCCTGCTCTGCAACTCCGAGATTCACTTCAGAAGGATCAGCAACGGCGGCACTTTCCAGTTCGTGTAACCCTCCGCGACCTTTCCTCCATTCCAGCTCCGCTCCCTCAAGATCCGCCAGCTTCGTCGCAAGAGCAACGTCCGAGGAGGCCGAGAGAGGTGTTGCCGCTGGGTTGCCTATCGATCTGAGAGGTTTTCTTCTGGTCCTCGCTGCTCATTCTCCAGTCCTATACTACCCGGTAGATTTTCATGAGAGATCTACATGTTCTTTGATTTCCACCTCGCATGGCGTAATAACTAGAGAGAGAGAATCAACCTGGCTCCTGCATGGCAGGGATTTCTGCGATTATCCCTTGAATCTGATCACCTGTTCTTCTTCTCCTTCAGGAAAGAGGGCGTTCATCGCCGGGGTTGCCGACGACAATGGCTACGGCTGGGCGATCGCCAAAGCTCTTGCTGCCGCAGGAGCCGAGATTCTCGTCGGCACTTGGGTCCCCGTAAGTCAACACCCCCCTTCTTCATCTTCCTCCTCCTCCCCCACTTTCCCCTTCGTCTCACTTCTGAGAGGGAGCTCATCTCCTGAATCCAGGCTCTAAACATCTTCGAGACCAGCTTAAAGCGCGGCAAGTTCGACCAGTCCCGCCTGTACGCCTCTACCCTCCCCTCCCTCCTCCTCGCCTCGAACTCAAAAGGCTGGTTCTTCTGCTCTGTTGTAGGCTACCGGACGGCTCCCTCATGGAGATCACCAAGATATATCCCCTCGATGCCGTCTACGACTCCCCCGAGGACGTTCCAGAGGATGTGAGTTCCCTCTGATTCTTCTGGTCTTTCTCTCTCTTCAGTCGTCTGCTCGTCATCATCATCATCATCATTATCATCATCTTCTTCTTCTTCAGGTTAAATCCAACAAGCGCTATGCCGGAGCATCCAACTGGACTGTCAAGGTGATGGGGATTCCATTGATTCAGATGATGAATAACTCATCACTTCGGCTAAAATCTTTTGGTGCCCGGGTGGAACTTGCAGGAAGTGGTTGACTCTGTGAAGAATGACTACGGCAGCATCGACATCCTCGTTCACTCTCTTGCCAATGGGCCCGAGGTGGTGCTCGCTTCCCTCTGCAGATCAAATCTCTTTGACTTCATGCAGTCAGACACCGAGTTGACCTACCGAAAACCCACCTGGTCTCCCCTCATCAGGTCGCTAAACCTTTGCTGGAGACCTCCAGGAACGGGTACCTCGCGGCGATATCCGCCTCGAGCTATTCATACGTTTCCCTCCTCCGGCATTTCCTCCCGATCATGAATCCAGGCATGCTTCATGGATCTATAAATAGAAATCTCTGCATGTTCTAACCCTAAGTGGCTCTCACTCTTTCATGGCTAACGTTGACTTCCACAGGCGGCGCCTCGATCTCCCTGACTTACATCGCTTCTGAGAGGACCATTCCTGGGTAATCATCCTGTCCATGAAGAAGATACTCTATCGATTGCTACTCTTTAATCATCATCATCGTCATCGTTATTGGGAGTAATATGCAGGTATGGAGGTGGGATGAGCTCAGCCAAGGCGGCCCTCGAGAGTGACACCAGGGTGAGCTTTTGTCCCCACCCGCCGTCTTTACATGGCTGACAGTATCTAAAGCATCTTCTCCGGATGCAGGTGCTGGCTTTCGAAGCGGGGAGGAAGGGGAAGATCAGAGTCAACACCATATCTGCCGGTTAGTCCCCCAAAGTCGTCTCCCTCGTTCATTGCTGTGATGGAAAAGAACCCAGAAATGTCGACGAGATGGTCTCACATTACGGTGTTGACTTGGGATGGATGAGTTTACCCTATGAAGATCTCTGACTTGTCGTCCTGGGTGTTGACCAAACTGTTCAAGGCCCGCTGGGGAGCCGCGCCGCGAAGGCCATCGGGTTCATAGAGAAGATGATCGAGTACTCCTACGCCAACGCGCCCCTGCAGAAGGAACTCCGGGCAGGTAAGCGTTGATCCGAAGTCCCCGCCCCCGTCATCTCTCTCTCTCTCTCTCTCTTCCGCTACGCCGGCGAGGAATCTCACCGCCCTCCGGTGGGTCGCAACTTCTCCGGCAGATGAGGTCGGCAACGCGGCGGCGTTCCTGGTGTCGCCGCTGGCGTCGGCGGTGACGGGAACCGTCGTCTACGTGGACAACGGCCTGAACACGATGGGCCTCGCTACCGACAGCCCGGCGATCACGGCGTGAAGTGGCCGGGGCCGGCCGGGGTGCACTCCTTTCCAAATGGGTTCTGCAGTCTCACGGTGGGTGCATATTTTTCGGATATCTCCAAGCTTTTGCATAATAATCAAGAGAGAGAGAGAGAAGACTTTGCGGAAGTCCGAATTTAACCCACTTTGGGGTCAGGTTTAGTATAAAAACACCGTCATCCAGTTTATTTGCATGGCCCATTTGGGACCCTCATATCTAACCAAAGTCAACAGATCAAGCCGAATCTTGTTTTCCATTTGTGGAAAAGATAGGGTCAAGCTCCTCCCATCCTATTTGACTCCCCCCTCATCTGACTAAAGTAAATCAGCTAGTCAAAACCATCTCATGAAAGGCTCAGACAAGTTCAGGTTTGACCCACATTCTCTTTCCTCATTTATCTGTAAGCTTTTTGAGGCCCGAGTGTGAATTTTTTTTTGTATCTAATTTCCCATCATACATTGGACACCAACCCACATAATAAAAAAGTCAACGGATCAAAACCACCTGAAGAAATCAAATGGCCCACGAGATGCTCGGGGAAATGCCCCAAGAACCCGATAACAAATCTTCCAGAGATTTAAATGGCCCACGACATGTTCAAGGGAATGCCTCAACCAGTAGAACTTGCTCCTCCATCAGCGAAAGAGGCGCTTGGCCTTCTTCCTGGTCGAAGCCCTGCCCCCGTCCTTCTCCGGCGACTCCTCCACAAACAACTGTTCCTGCACGACCAGCCCCCGATTCCTCGTTAGTTTCCTGATCGGCGTCGTTGGGGGCGCCGCCGCCGACTGGGACCCTTCACAGGGCGGCCGTTCTTCCAGCCCAGAGGGGCTGCAGCTCGTGCCGAGGTCGCCCCTGTCCGGCATCAGCTCCTCTCCTGGCGCCACTCTCTCCTGCATCAGCTACACGAGAAGTGCAGCAATCGATCAGCCAGGAGAGAACACAGAGGCCCAATTATCTCCTCGGCTGCTAGTCCCTGATATGGGCTTATCTTACCTTCCAGTCCTTGAAGTCAAATCTGAAGACGAAGTGGCTGTACGAGACCTCACCAGCAGCCACCGCCACCGCCACCGGGGCATTTCTCGGCACTGAGAGGGCAGAAATTCAGCGGACTGATCAGCACCCACTAAAACCCATCAAAACCCACAAGAGAAAATCTCTCTCTCTCTCTCTCTCTCTCTCTCTCTCTCTCTCTCTCTCTCTAGGAGGGGGGAAGTGAGTCAACTCACTGACGAGGTGGTGACCATTGTCGTCCACTGTTATCTCGGCCCGACCATCCTTTACCAGGAACGAGAGGGCGAAGAGGTTCTCCACGGTCTGCGCAAAGGAAGCCCGGTTCAGTAGGAGGCTTTCGAGCCCCACCCGCCGCCGCCTCCTCAGGATGTCGAACATGGTCAACATGTTCTTATCAGTGTCCGTTCTCTGCTCCCCCTCCAGCTCCGATCCTTCCAGCTTCACACACAGAGGAGACCACCATTGAAGATCACCTCAACAGAATTCAATATAATTCGAAAGAACATCAAGACCCAGCATCTGGGCAGAATTTTCACGAGAGATACCTCTTCAGGTCGGGTGGTGTCGGCTGGTCTGGTCTGCTTCCTCTGGGCATGAGGCTTACGTTGCTTTGGCTCGGTGCTCATGGGGCCAAGCCTGGTGTGGACAGTGTCAAAAATAGGTCAGGTCGGCGATCCATCAAGGGGTTTGATATGTTGTTATTGCCTAGAACTGAAGAATCAGATCAAAAATAAGTAAACGATCTTGATGTCTCAAGTCTACAAGGTTTCCTCTCTCTCTCTCTCTCTCTCTCTCTCTCTCTCTCTCTCTCTTCCCTCTCTCGGCTTTTGAGTGAATAGATGTTCGGCAAATAAGGGTTTCTAACAGATCTTGAGCACCTCCTGAGAAGGGTTCACCAATGGAGATAAACTTTCAACAGGAGGAACTAAAACGAGTAAAATAATATCTCATTTGTATGAATGTGGAAACTTTGGAAACGTTTCTAAACAAAAATTCAAAAAAAAAATTCTAATTTGCCTGGAGTAGCTTGAATATAATTTATATTTGTTCATTTAAAGTTACGCAATCAATATAATTTATCAGTAATCACACTTCAAGCATACCCGGTGGGTAGAAAATTATAGAACAATTTTATTAAGAACCAGCCTACGCAAATATTTTCTTTAAGGCATTTGATCAAACATCATCCCCCTGATCGGATTAAAAATCATCATTATATACCCCAGTGAAACCTCGACATGAGGAATTTTTTTTCTAAAACATTGCATGAAAAATATTATACAAGTATAGTTCTCAGCCCTCTATCATTAAACATTGAAGGCAACTTACATTGTGCAGCAACCGGGAGGCCTCATGAACACATGAGCAACAGCTGAACCCACATCCTTCCAAAAGGCATGGCTGCAAGCGCCCTCACTGCCCGTTCCACCCTGTTGACCAAACTTTCTCAGCATGGCCCTGACGAAATCTGATGGGGTCAACCCATCGTTGCCATGGGACCTGATGGTGGTCACCAAGGTGCTGGTGATGTTCAGCAGAGCCTCTGCATCGGCAATCTGTTCTCTAGGTTTCTTCACTGCAACAGAAATCCCACCAGAGATTTCAATACCCAGCCCTGTAGAGTTCCGTGGCATGGGGGAGGGGAGGGGGGGTAGAGAAAGTATGGCCTGAATTACCTTGCTGATGCAGAGCCTCTACTTCCGTGATGATCGATCTAAACCGGTCGGAATCCACTCTAGATAGATCCTCCCTTCCATCTGTGAACAGAAGAAAGCCACCCAATTGGGGAAATTAGCTACAGTCGAAATGCCACCGCGGGCAAGAAAGATTCCTACCCAGAAACGAAAAGCCATATTCTTTGATGCAGAAGAGGAGAGAAAGAAGAAGGAGAGGGATCCATACCGACGAGCTGATTCTTCACCGCAAGATAACGGGATCGCAGAATTCGCCGCTCTAGGGTTTCTTCCCTGGTTTCCTCAGAAGCGGACGCGCCGCCTCCCTGGCTGCTCCCCTCCTCCGGCGCTCCACGGTCGGGCTCCTTCTTCAAGCGTTTTGCCATATCTTCCGGCAACAAGAAAGAATCAAATCCCACGGAAAGAGGGAGGGAGGCGGAGTCCCCTCGTCCAGAACAACCCTTACCCAAACGCTAACCCTAAACCTGGGCAACCGGACTAGTGGTTTTTCATCCCCTACAAATCTAAATCAATGGGCGCTCGTGGAAAATGAGGACCTCGCCGGAGCCAGAGGGGGGCATCTCCCCGGAGGAAAACCAGAGGAGCCCCCGAAGCTTTTTTTCTCAAAATTGTGGGTCAGGGAGGAGGGTGACTACGGAGCTTATTATCAAAATGGGAAGAACCAAACGAAGTTTCCGGCGGCGATGAGATTGATTCATCGGAAGGAGGGCTTTTTTTGAACTGGATCTCCTTCCCGCTTGTCCGCCGGAGCCCTCCACAGGAGCTTCTCTCCTCTCCCGGCCGGCGGAGCCGCGACAGCTATTCAGGCATGAACGGACGGTCCAGATCGACCGGATGTAGTCCGCCCGGTGCACTAAGCCGCATGAACACGTCAACAAACGATGTTCCTCACTCTGTGGCTTAATTGTTATTAGCTGTAAGAGAAAGGGTAAATAGTGGACGGTCTCCTCACGGGGGGGGAAAGGTTAGAAAGTTTCCCCTGATCCGCAGCAGGGCGGGGATTCTCGCCGCCGCCGGAAAAATTCCTCCGCCCGCCACCGGCGGAAAATGTAGGGATCTCCGGTCGCTCTCCCCACGGCCATCTCCGGCACCGGTGCCGATTCTTCATCCGGCAACTCGGCGGGGGCTACTGTCTCCTCCGATCTCGGAGAAGAACTCCGACGGTGAATTCCTCGGTGAGTTGTAGCCCTAGCGACGTTCTTGCATTCCCCGAGCAAGGTAGGGTTCCGGCGAGGGTTCTTGCGCAGGATGAAGGCGTCTCTGAAGTTCAGAGACGACCGCCAGCCTCTCGTGACGGCGAAGATCCCGGTGAGCGTCCTCGGATTCCCCTTCCTCTCCGGGATATCCGCCGGCGACGCGAAGGAGCTCCGCCTCGACCTCGCCACCGCCTTCGAGTCCGGTCCTTCCTTCCGGGTCTCCTACCGCCCCAACGATTCATGGCGGCCCTTCAGCTTCCTCGTCAAGATCGGCGTCGGCTCTCTCGGCTCCCCCAGCGCCGCTCCGATGACAATGGCCGCCGAGTTCGGCCTCTTCGCCGGCAGATCTCCGTCCTTCACCATCCAGATCAAGCCTCGCCTCGGCGATTTTTTCATCAGAAAATCCTCCAACTCCGCGGCCGGCGACGGCAATGGCTTTATCATCGACGGCGGATCCTCCTGGAATAAGCCTGTGAATGGGATCCCGATCGCCGTGGGGATTGGGGACCTTTTCTCTGGGGCGGAGCTGATGTCGCAGAGCGTCCTGCCGCTGCGGAGCCAGGCGGCGGTGAAGTTCCGGTGGGGTGTGAGAATGCCGCCAGAAACCAGATCGGCCTTCGTGCAGGACCTGCAGAGGAAGGATCCCGCCGGCGGCGCCGCCCTCCGCAGGCTCCCCGTTCTGGTGATGAGTAAGGTCTCCGTCGAACAGGTACTTCCACCGGCGGCGCCCGCTTCCCCCGCTACGAAACCTGGGGATCTCGCCGTCTCCGTGCAGAGCCAACTGGCGGCGCTCCAGGGCGAGACTGGGATGCTGCGGAAGGCCATGGAAGAGCTGCGTGTGGAGTTCGGTGCAAGAAGCGACGGCGGCGGGGGCAGAAACGCCGGCAGGGCATCTCTACCGCCGAAGAACGGGAGGACGTACGAAGGCGGTGGCGCCAGCGCTGGCGGCGGCGGAGGAGCCAGCAAGAAAGACGTGAACGAGGAGCTCAGGAAGGCCCTGATGAAGGCCGCCGCCGGCGACCCCGCCTGAGCTTTCTGCCGATCACCAACGGTATGGTAATCCCCTCCCCCCCTCCCCCAACCCACAGAAAAGCCCTAATTGTTTAATTACTGAAATAGTTTTCTATTTATTTTAATCTCCTCCCTTCGGTTTGCCTTAGTCGGGCCCACGATGGGCCGTTAATGGGCCATATTGGGCCCCTAACTGAATGACCACCGCTGATCTTGTCCGTTGCGGCTGCGGAGAACCTTATCTTATTCTATTCGCGGGGGAATCTTTTTTTCGAGCTTTCTAAAAGTTCTCGTGCGATGGTGACGAGGACCAGCTCGAGAGGGGCATATGTGAAAATAAGTATCTTTCAGGAGAAGTACGAGAGTGCACATATTAAACGGCGAGGAAGGCAAAAAGCCGCAGGTTAGGTTTTCGGGGTGGCGGTCTGCCGGGGAAGACGACGAAGCGGCGGCGGTAGCGCCCCACGTTCGTTGGGGCGTAACCGTAAAATGAAGCAAATGGTTGGGGTGGTTTGGTAATTTGATGGGCGCCGGAGATCCTCAGGCGCCCGGTATTGGGCCCTCGAAGGCTTCCCCCTACGGTCGGAAACGGGGAGGGTTTATAAAAAATCGAATGGAGCGATCCAACGCCATTGGAAGGTTAAGGAGGAGGCAGAAGGGAGAGAGAGAGAGAGAGAGAGAGAGAGAGAGAGAGAGAGGAGAGGCGCCGTCTCAAAACCAGGTCGTCCTTCCTGAGGGAGGCTAGGGTTTTCGGAGGAGCGCGGGATGGGAGGAACGTGATGAACCGCCATGACGAGATCGGGCGGCCGGGAGGAGTTCTGGGGAACGCGGGAGGAGCTTCTCCTGGCGTGCGCTGTTAGCCGGCACGGGACGCAGAGCTGGGACTCGGTGGCGATGGAGGTGCAGACGAGGATCCCCTTCTCGCTCATCCTGGATCCGCAGACGTGTAAGCGGCGCTACCACGCGCTGCAACGGCGATTCACAGCGGAGGAGCGTGGGATCGGCGTAGGAGACGCGGCGGGCGGTGTCGGATCGAGCGCGATCCCGCTGCTGGAGGAGCTCCGGAAGCTCCGCGTCGCCGAACTCCGGCGGGAGGTGGAGAGCTACGACGTTTCCATCACGTAAATATCCGCTTAACGGAGCTCTTATTTTCTGTTTAACTGCGAATTAATGGCCGTCGGATAAGGATCTGACGATGCCTGGCCTGTGAAGTTTCGAGATCTGGATTATTATATGTTTCGTTTTTGGTTTCCTTAAGGTCTCTTCAACATAAAGTCAAAAAGCTTAAAGAAGACCGCGAACGGAGCCTTGAAGAGGAACAATCCGGCGAGGGAAAACCAGATCCGCCGGAAACCGATGGGCGGGAGGGGGAGCCAGTCGTACCTTCAACTCTGCCGGAAAACCAAACCGTCGACCGTGTCTGCGGTGGCGATTCCGGCCGGTCCTTCAACGAGTCAAACTCGTCCGAAGCGAAAGATGGGAAACACGGCGGAGTTTCGGTCAGCGAGGAGAACGGCGTAGGAAATATCGATCCCCTCACAAGCGATGAGGATAAGGTCGGCGGGGAGGTGTCCTACGATGGAAGCTCCGACACGGTGGCTAGGGAAACGGAAGTTGCGGTTCCTGATGGAGGACCGGGGGTCACGCATCAGCCCGACGTGGGCGAGTCAGGCGAGTCGGTAGCCGAGTCGAAAGGCGAGGCGGCAGTAAAGGAGAACAGCGACGTCCAGAGTTCCGCGAGTCTCTCCCGCCGGCGGCGCGGCCGGAGGAAGTCGGTCCGCAGAGGAAGTCGAAGCCGAGTAAGGGGAGACGAGGCGGAAGCAGATGAGGTATCCCCCGGCAACACACTGAACCTCGCCGAATCGCAGCCGTTGGTCTCCTTCCTCGAGATTTTCCGGTCTCACGAATACGGCTCCGTGTTCGAGCGGCGGCTAAAGATCCAGGTATTTCTCAATTTATCGTCATCGTTTACATATATGTATGTATACAGGCCATCTGGCATAACCCTTTTATTACGGAGACATGTGTTTTTGCGCATCTCGTATATTCTCGCGGGAATTTAACTTACATATCGTGAGAAATAAATCACGAGGCTTCCCTTATTTCGGCGGGTTGGGGTCCACTCCGCATTTTCGCGCCCTTAAAAGGCACATTTCCAGGCGAAGATACCGTATTGATGTATTCAATGCGATCTCAGCCGTATGATCCTGATCTTGCGGATCAGAGATGTCTCTTCGTTTAGTCCCTCTTTTTATTATTTTCTGTCAGGGAGATTGTAAGGCTGTCCTTTCTGTTGTAGCCAGGCGAAGGATAAGAGAGCGTTGCTCCTCTACGTGGCAATATATCTCAGGATCATCTCGCAACAGATCTGAGTATTTAGACCTAGTAGTTCTGCGGGTGTTCGCTCTCGTTGCTAATAATTTATTCGCCTTAACGACTTTTATCCACGGCTGTATAAGACCAACAAACTGTTTTATCCCATTCATAACGCCGTTGCTTTCGGACTCTCCTCCACCATTGTCTCTCTATTAGATAGTTTTTATAGTTTTTCCTTTTTTACTATTTACCGTTTTGTCATATATATGTAAAATCGATTCCTTTCTGTTTAAAGGAGAGCTCGAGGTATCGGATCTTGATTCGGCAGCACATGGAGGTGGCCATGGTGCAGAGGAAGCTGATGGAGGGGGGCTACGCCGTGGACGTGGAGTTTTACCGCGATCTTCTGCTCCTCTGCACGAACGCCATCATATTCTTTCCCAAAACCGCCATGGAGTTCGTGGCCGCCGTCGAGCTCCGCAGCGTCGTTCGCAAGCAGATAGCTGCCGCGATCCACCGGTCGAGCTCGTCGTCCTCCGCGGAAGAACCGATAACTATCCATCAGACAGTGATCTCCCCCAACACAGAGAGCGACCCTGATCTCCCCGTCGCCCCGCCGCTGGTCGCTTGCCGGAAGCGGAGCTCAATCGCCAAGGAGGCCTCCAAGACGGCGGCCGCCGTCGAGGAGGAGAAACCACCAGATTCCCAGAAGAAAGAGGCGGAGATCATGAACACCAGCCGGACGAGGGAGAGATCCGTGGTTGCGGGGCTGAGAAGACTGAGAACCAACAAGGGCCGCGGGGGGAGCAATGGAGAGACGAGGAATTCCATCTCGAGATCGGCGGCGCTGCACTCAACGGAGGACGACGGGTCGGAGAAGCCGGCGAAGACGGAGAGGAGCATCGACAACGGGGTCGCCGTCGTCAAGAGGAGGAGCGCCATGAACAACCTCTCGACGAGGACGACGGAGCGGAGGCACGCGTCCTCCAACGGAACGCTTCTGGAAACCCTAAAGAACTCGAGGAAGAGCTTGGGGAGCGATCCGAAGAAGGAAGTCCGTGGGGACGAAGGCAGGAGGGACCAGGGCTCGAGGCACGCGTCCGGTTCCCCCAGCAGCTCCTCCGGGAAGCAAGCGCAGGAGCAGAACGTCCCAGTGAAGCGCGGCGTCGGCAGGCCCCCCAAGAGGCCGCCGCCTCCTCTCACGCTGCCACCGGCGAAGAGGCCGAGGGGGGCCCAGACGGAGGCGCCACCGGCGAGGGCCGCGTCGGGGAGGAAAAGAGGCAGGAAAAAGTGAACGGGCGGTACGTTCTGTAAATTATTCTCTGGAATCCGGGAGGACTTTCAGTTCGCACTAATCCACCCCTTATTTTCCTTCTAACTCCGAGATCACCATTTTTAATACATTTTGTGCATTGCAGCGCTCGACGACACCTCTCGTTGTGGGGGAGGGAACCCAAAAAAAGAAAGAAAAAAAAAAGAGAAAAACCCGGATCCGTCTCTCGTGCCGCCTTCTCTGCTGCTGCGGACAGCGCCCGTGCCCTGCGCCACGTACGAAGTCCCTGAGCGCACGCCGTGGATCGTCATCCACACAGGTGGGTAACCTTTTCTATCATCTTATAAATCCAACCCTGGCGTAAAATTGTTTGCTCTCCATGGCCCTCGACAGACCTTGTCGGGCCGGGTTTTCGATTCCTGAAAACCTCGCACTAGGCCCAGCCCGATTAGCCCCGCCAGCGAACCAATTGGGGGGGGGGAATTGAAGAGAAATGCATCAAATAAGCCATGAAAAAATAATATCGTTTATTCTACAGAAATTTGTATATTTCCTTCTCTTCGTAGGTAAAGAGACCCTGCAGATGGACGCTGGGCGTTGACCGCGCCGTGAAGTGGCTTTGACTATCATTGAATTAGGGAGCGCGCGTGAGGCTGAGCTGGACGACGGGAAAGGTGGGAGTTTTCGCGGCGGCTTTATCTCTCTTCTGATCTTCATTCATCCGAGAGTTGACCCTCCCTGTTCTGCTCCTTTGCAGAATGCGGCCACCCTGGTCGGAGGATATCCCCTTTCTTTCGTTAATCCAGCAACAGTCTTGGAACTTCGGGGAAGGTCAAACCCTTCCCCAAAGTCAAACACTCCTGCTGAAGACAATAATGACAGACAGAGATTCGCCCCAAGACAGAAGACAACCCGGCGAGATCCCCTCTAGGAAGAGCAACAGCAAACAGGAGAAGCCCTCTGGTTGCCGGAGCCTTGGGTTCCTTTTCTGCCGCCAGCTTCACCCGCCTCCTCTGTGGCGCCGCCGCCGCCGCCTCTCACCCTTCTGTGAAGGGAAGAACAAGCAGTACCGTCACAGGCTGCGCTACTTACTTCCCCCAAACGAGAAAACCTTCAGTGCCCATTGAGACTTGGAATCCTCCCCTTACTGTGCTATACACGCAAGGGCAAGAAGAAGAAGAAGAAGAAGAGGGTGAAGGGTCAACGGACGGGGGATTGTTGAAGCTTACAGAGAGAGGGAAGCTTACGGACGGGGGGAGGGATAAAAGATAAGTTTTAATCAGTCGGCTCATGTGTATTTACCGCTTTCACTGTCGGAGGGGTCCGTGATCCTGGCGATCGCCTCGATCAACGACTGCTCGTGCCCCTGCGCCACACAACAGCAACAACAACACACAGCTCGTCAACTACGTCTCTCTCTCTCTCCCTCTCATAGATGGGAAGTGGACTTTCTACGACTGCCACTCTCTCTCTCTCTCTCTCTCTTTCTCATATGGGAAAGTGGACTGTGAAAGGGCAGGGGGGGGGGGTGAGAGAACCGACATTGTCCCTAGGCCACGTGGCTACTCCACGACCCCTCCCTCTCTCTCTCTCTCTAAAGTAAATGGAAAGGGGGGGGGGGGGGGGGGGGTTCTCTGGGATTTTCACGAAGTGGGCTAGGAAAAAGAGAGGAAATAGGCGCACTAAGAAAGGAAGGGGATTTACCTTGAGTGCTTTCTTAGCCTTCTCCACGTCAACTGGGTCCGGGTGGCTCGAACCGAACACCTTCTCCACCTGACAACCCCCGGAAATGGGAATGAAAATAAAATACTCAGCAAAAAATAAATAACCATATTCAGATTTTTGTTTTTTTTTTTGGGGAAAGGGGGGCGGGATTTGATGACATGGACTCACGGCCTTGATGAGGGTCTCCGTGTGGAGAATCTCGATGACGTCGGCGCCCTTCTTCCTCACACCGTTCTGTGGGCCCGGGAAGCTTGCCTTCGGGTGGCCCCTCTGGGACCCACCTCGCCCTCTGCCGTGCCCTGGGGCGGTGGCGCGGGCCGTGGGCTTCTTGGCTCCGCGGCCCGGTCCGCCGTGGCCGGCCCGGTGGGGGGTGATGCCGGGGTCCTCGCCTTCCCAACGGATGTCCTCTGGAGAAATCTGTTGCACAATTAGCGGAGCTACTTCAAACAAAAAAAGGGGAGGGGGGGGACAATGCGGGTAGACCCGCCGCCAAAAGTCAACTGATTAAAGGGCGTCAACCGAGGCCTCCCTCCCTCTGAACAATAACAAGAACAAAAAAAAAGGGACCATATTTGAGGGGAAAAATGCCCAAGAGTTGACTGCGATGCTAGGTCAAGTTCCAGATTTCCAAAACAGGAAAGGGGGGGGGGGGGGGGAAATCCAGTGATGTGAAACCCACAAGATGGTGAGTGGGCAGCTCCGAAGGATAAAATGAATCGAAGATTATGAGCAGAAAAGATTTAGGGAGAAAGGAATAAGTCAACTGCTGAACCCTACGAATTCCTTGGAACCCTAATCACTCACAGACGAATTACTCTGAATAGTATGAAATGTGTCTTCCCCCATCCTCTCCCTCTCCTCGTTGTATGACAAATCAAGGTTTTCTATAATCTACCAGACGCTAGTTGTGAAGCAGATTACAGGCCTAACCCCATTAACACCTATGTATATATATATATATATATCTGTAAATATATATGCGAGAAATGGGCATGATCAATCAGGGGGCAATAGAATAAAGAACAGACAGAGCATGATCAGACAAGAATGTGACAATAAAATTAAATTTCAAGGGTTTTTACCACAGTAGATGGCTGAATAAAAAATATATACAAATGATTCTACAATGCTTTACAACACGCTGGTCCTCATCCGCATTCTAGAATACTATGCACGTTATCATGCTCACAGAGAGGATGGAGAGCTATGTTAATGGGCCGTGAAAGCCTGAAGCCAGGCATGACCCATTTTCTCTATAATCGGCCTTGGAAGCAAGCCCATAAACAAAATCCTGCCCAATTAGGAGACTAATTGGGCTGGACAAGGGTTTATTTGAAAAGGTCCCAACCTGCAAGCTCATTGCCCCCATCACAATACAGCTATCAACCTGCCATGTGGCGCCAGCCCATCCCACCGACTACCAGCTAATAATGGATTCCACCTAATAGTGTGAATATTAATTTAAGAAAGAAAGGAAAAAAAAAAAAGGGTTAGCCAGCCAGTACTTGTCTCTTAAATGACTAAGATGACAGGGGCCAGTGGCGAGCACAGAAGGATTCCATGTATTCTAAATCATGGGCACATCTGTTTCCCTCAAAAGCTCCAGACCTGATACTCGCTGCCCGTCCTTCTACTTGACCCATAAGAGCAGCAACACCTGACATGTCTTCCTCGAAAGGGGGAACAGAGGCAGGCTTTTCAAATAATTGAAAAGCCAGGTGTTTTGGTACCAGATGCCCTGATAGGACCAGTCATCAGTTCAATTTCTTTGGCCCGAATTCTTGGCCGAACCGGGCCAATCCAACTGGGCCAGTTTGATGGGGGGGTGGAAGTAAACAGTGTGATATCCACACTGTGCAAGTTGGAGTCAGAGAAGCCAATAAACGACAGCCAGCAGCAAGTGTATGCCGAGAAGGGAAACTTTTATCTGACTAGGGACAATGCTAGGCATTCACAAACACTTGGTTGTCTACATCCGCCCTTGAAATAGATTATCAATGATGAAAGCTATACGTAAGAAGAAGTACATTTGTAAACATCACGACAAATGGATAATAGAAAAATAAGCAAGGGTTTCCATCCTCCTGGTGCCACTGATTAAGATATCCAGTTTATTGGTATAGAGGAGATCAACAATAAGAAATATGATCGCAAACTTAACATAAAATGAGTGATAGATATTCTTCCTGAACACACAGAGCATGATCAAGGCTAATAAAATTGGGAAGCTAATGGTGTCCAAATGCAGGTCTCATTTCTAGTATGCCTAGAGGTGATACTCAGCTGGTTCTGTTTAAGGGGGCAGACAGTGCAGACCTGGTCGAGCCCAGGTGTCTCTTACAAAGGTTCAGACCCAGTAGTGGCACGGGAGAAGCCCAGAAATCCGGCTCTGGGCCAGACCCTGGCAAAGCACTAGCCTGGCCTGATCCTACATATATATCTAACAGAGAGAAAGGAAACGGGTGTGTGTGCGTGTGTGTGGAGCCGATTTGGGATAAAAACCTGCCCTGATACTCTGACCATGACAGCATCAAAGCCTCAACCGGACTGGAAAGGGGCCAGGGCGAGGCCAGGCAATTTTCCTTTTTCTAGGCTTGTTTTTGAGGGTTGGTCCCTAGAAAAGGGCTAACACCGAGCTGTGGGGTTGACCAGCCCACTAACCCCTAATAGTGGTTCAGAAAATGAGAGTTTTCCCCCATAATTGCAGAAGAAACGATATTACAGTCCAAGCAGAAGAGACAGGCTAGAATAAATTTTTTACTATCTTTAAAACATGCGGTGGGGAAATGCAAAACTTACTTCTTTGAGGTTGACCCATTCCCAAGTTTCATCTTTTGTATTTATGTCATAAACAAGAGCATGCAGACCCTGGAGTACATGAAACAATTAAGCTTGTGTCCTATTGTTCATGGCTAGAAATAAATAACGACTTAAAGGCTGACAGCACCTCCGCAGGATTATAATCAGTGATGACAGCTTCATAAAAGTTATTATCTTCGGGCCACCTGGTCAAGACTTTCCGTCCAATTAATGGGTTGAATGTCGCAGCTTCAGGAGGCTCAATGCGAGCAACAGAAGTAGGATTTGCAACCTGCGCTCTTCCTGCTGGACCAGCAGCAGGATACTTGGTGGATTTCACTGCAGAACCTGGAGGTAATGTCTGACACAGGAATAGTTGAAGAAAAAGAAGACCAGAAGAAAAAAAGCACGTCAGTGCAGCAGTAGGATATGCCAATGACCTATAGATGATGAAATACATCGGTTATGCATGAAGTAAGAGACTGGGAGACTGGCTGAGTGCAGAAATCAGAATGCAGTCACTGAGTATATCATAAGGACCAGATATTACAATCTCGTATGAAGTTTACTTACTGGTTTTGGCTTCTTGCTTCTTGCTGTTGCTGGTGGAGCTCCTCGTTTTGCAGGTAATGGAGAGGGCTGCACTGTGTCAGGTACTGCTCGAGAATGCAGAGCAGGCGATAGAGAAGGTATAGACTGGGGCGGTTTTTGTTTCTTGCGAGATGTTGATGCTGTAGGACTTGGTGCCACATTGTGAGCAGCGTGTGAGTTATTGAGGAGATCAATCTTTGGGACTCCGGTCTTCCTCCAGTCCCTGTTAAGTTTATAACGCAGCTATTGTTAAATCTTTTCCCCACAACCCTAAAACAATGAAAGGCAAAAAAAACGATTTATTGCCAACCTTATTCTCCTAATGATATCATTTGCATTTACTTGGGTTAAAAGTTCCCTATGCTCCTTATCAGATACCCTCAGCTCTTTGCGGAGCTCAGTGATTAGACTCTCTTGTTCCTGCGTACATTAAATTTTTAGAAAACTGTTGTTTCACAGCAGACCTGCACATAAAAATTATTAAAAAAAAACTTCAAGGAAAGTTTATATAGCTCTTAAGATGGGTACCCAGGTGATAACATCAGATTGTGCCTTGAAAGCCATCAAAACGGAACAGTAAGCCTCTTGCTCAAGCTGATGTATTTGTGTTTCCATATCATTATGCATCCTGGGATACAGAAGAGAAACCATGACAGGGGTACTTCCATTCCCGGGGACACGCACTCCTCTTGTGCCCCTATTCCGATGAGTTGGCGGTAGATCATCATCCGTTCCTGCGGTAATTTTTTAAGTTATAATCGTCATACTACATTACGTACTGATCATCCCAGCTCTAAAATTTAGAATTCCCTCAGAATAGAGAAAAAAAACTATTCGAACAAGAGAAAACTACAGTGGAAGTAGCTCATAAATAGTATAGAAACGTTGAACTCTGTCTAACCATTTATCATTCCCGAATACCACGTAAAACGCGTCCAACAGTTTCATGTTAACTATGAGAGCATCCATTTAGAGTTTCTTTGCAAAAAAGAAAAAAATCATACAGACAAAAATAAACCGACTGATGAACCAGCCCATAAAGAAGAGGAAGATTACATGGAAATCTCGAGTTCCCCCAATAGTATTACCTTCCGCAAGTGGCATGTCAAAGACCTAGCCAAGTAGTTTCTTAGTAAACTATGAGATCACTCAAGTACACTGCACTGCCATGTGGAAGCAGGCAACAACAAGCATAACACTTTTGGAAAGTGAAATAAAGAAGCACATGTATATGCTAGGAAACCAGCAAAGGAGGGAAAAATTACAATCTCTCAAACTGTTCATACATCCTCAAGCGTTATATGTCCAATGTGTGAGTCAGAATGATTTGGCCCTAAATAATGTTCAGCGCTTTGAATGGTTTGATCTAGTACACCAAAAATCAGAATAAAACGATGTGAAGACTGTTGAACAAGCCGATAGTAGAGACAAGAAAACTTGGATTAAAGTAAATATCTTTCGCGGGAAATAATTAAATCATCACATTATGCAGCGCAATCTAGAATAAAATGGGAGGCTCCTATTGGGGCCAACCATCAACATTTTATATTAGGAGCTTTTAGGTCGCGTGAATAGTGAAAGGTCTCGATATTAGGGAGACCATCAAGATAGCCCCAAAGTAAAAAGAATCTCTCTTTCGCTGCCCGCTACGACATTTCTACAACAGAAACACAAAGTACACGAGGAATTCACGAACACAAAACCATAACTCCCGCTATATGAAAATCGACTCCATCATATCAGAAAGAGAGAAAAATTATACAGAGCACTAAAGACAGCGTTTTCCAAGACAGCTTTCGATAATACAATCCCTGGCCAACCGTCTAGCATAAATCAAGCATAAATCCCTTTACATTCACCGAAACAAAGCTATCACTTCAACTTACAAGGAAGCTCCTGCATCCTGATCTTTCTAAGCATAAAGTATGATTCCGAGCTTACGAGGAAAACTTCACATGGAATTCCAAAAACCATGCCGATAATGCTCATTCGGCAGAAAAACTAGGCTTAAGCTACTCACCACTGCTGTCCGAAGGACCGAACTCCATGGCCAGGTTCACCAGTCAATTCGCACCATGAAGCACCCTCCACAACCAGAAACACACAACCACCTCGCGTACTCCTTCGAGTATGATAAGAGAATCAAGGTTCTCTGTCCCACTACTGCCGCCGCCGATCCCGAAGAAGAGATCTTCCCTGCCCCTCCCACACTCTCCCCCGGATCACCGCTAACAGTGCGCTAGATTCCATGTCGGGCACTCCGATCCAACTGAAGATCAGGAACGCGAACAAGAATTCACCCAAAGCTGCCCTAACGGAACCTTGCAGGAGAGGAGAGGGATCGGGAGGGGGTCACAAGGAGGCGCCGTGCGGGAGTTCCACCCGGAGAGAAGAGAGAAGAAGAAAGCAGAGGAAGGAAAGGAAACATAGTCCGGAACCCAAAGCCCTTTTATATCACCGGGTCATTTAGGTTATAATTCGTTTTGAGTTCCGGTCGCGGAAAGAATCTCCCAAAAGTCCTCCCGTACGTCATGTGCCGCACATACGTCTACCTTTGGCCAATCAACGTGTAGAAAAGATGGTGCCCCCCATCTATACTCCTCCGAAGGCCCACGCGTTGCGCTACACGAACGCACACACTCGGCTGGGCGAGAAGGGGCCCCACTTCTTCCGTGCCTCTAGTGCACCTCATAGCTCGCCATGAACTAATTTCACATATCATCAAACAAGAACAAGGAGACTAAACTAGTGGACGTACTGTTACTCTGTGATTCAAATCGAACGGTCTCAGTTAAGATCAAGGATCAAGTGAATCCAATACCTCACCCTAAGCTGGTATTGACAACTCAGCTTCTATCATCAGCTAAGAATTGGGTCCAAGAAATTCGATAATATTATGATGAGCCATGCTCATTTTATAATTGATTATTCATGAAAGTTGATCGACAATGTGTATGTAATGTATGCTAATTTAGTATATTTTTTTATAGCTTTGATGCTTCAAGCCTTAACTTGTTGTTCATTGAAGAGAAATCATATGAGCTCATGCAAAAGAAAAATTATAATGCAAAATAGTTAATACTAAGCCCTTTACATCTCACAAATAATTGGTCTTTAATTTTTTTTAATCAATACTAACATACATCTTGTGTGAAGTGTTAAAGTTATATTTTGTGTTTTAAATAGTATTATTATTTTATTTTTATGTGTTAGCTTGTAGAATAAATATAGTAATATATATTTAAATTAGGAAGTATGAAGTTAAATGAGTTAGCATAATTTTTGATTATTAAAAAGTACAAGAATAAAATATAAAAATGTTGTTGTCCATTGGCAAGCCAACACTCAATTGTTGACCTAGAAGAGTGATGTGGTTGAGTGGGTAGACCTAGATAAGGGGCCAACTAGTTGTGAAGTGAGGAACGTTGTAGTCACGTGTGCATGACGGCATACTACTTTTTACCTTCTTCTAAGATGACCTTAAGTGTTATTTTATTTTGGAAGAAAGGATCTCTATTGAGATATGTAGCTTTCATATATATTTAATTTAATCACTTCAAAACTTCCAATGTGAGAGTAGTGTTCTCATTTATTTCAAAGTAGCAATTTAGAGTGTTGTGTGATCTAGTTGTGCTCAATAGGCCATGTTACCGGATAATTCAGATCTTGCAACTAACGAACCACCACAATATTTTAAGCATAGAAATCTATTGATGGTTCACTAATTTGATGCCACTCAACATGCATGTAAACATAAATAATGATTCAACAATTACTAAGTCTTAGTTATAAATATTATTAGATAATGAGTATTTAAACACAACAACAAGTGCACATCATCTTTTTGGTGCCATTATTGAGAAGATCTATTTTTAATCAGTGTTAATTAATTTAGTTTTTTATATTTCAGTGATTTTTTAAAATAATAATATAAAATTTATAATTTTATTATTTTCGCTTAAATAGTATTTCAAAAAAAAGAAAAAAAGGAAAAAAAATTATTAGGCTTGTTGATTTTCATGTACATTTCTTTCATAAGTTAGAATTTTAAATATTTAGTTTTCATTAATTTATTTAAATATTTTAAATTTTAAATTGATTCTACACTTATCTTTGACATATTTATTAGAATTATATATTCATGTCATGATCATTGTTAGAATTAAATTCTGAAAACCTATTTTATGAATAGTAGACACACTTACAACCAATCTTAGAAAATCCTACTATCAACTAATCTAAGAATTTAGGGGCACGAGAAAAATAAAATTTACCACCCATATTAGAGACTCGAGCAGTAGAAAAAAGAAACAAATAACATCTTTTATAAAAGTAGACTAACTAGAATGGATTATTTAGCCCAAGAGAGTGAGATTGTTGAAAATACTCAACTTTTTAGACCTATACATGATTATTATATATGTGATTTATATAGACTTACTTTGCAGGTTATACCTCTTATTTTGTCAAATGTTCATTTTGATATTTGTCATAGTACTCTACAAACACTTTTTGAATTTCATGGGTTAGTTAATAAGGAACTACATTAACATATTATTTGATTTTTAACTAGATGTGAACTTATTCATATTCTTAATATTCCTCAAGATGTACTTAGGTTACGTCTCTTCTCATATTTATTGTATAATAAACCTAGAGATTGACTCACATTATTACCACATGCGATCACCACATGGTTAAAAGTAGAGCAAATATTTTTGAAAAAATTCTATCACATTAGCAAGACTCATGCCATGCGGAAAGTCATTATCTAATTTACTCAAAAATCAAGAGAAGCATTCTATGAATCTTAAGAAAAATATAAAAAGCTTTAAAAGAGATGTCCACATTATGAAATTACTAAATAGCAATTAAATTGTGTATCCTATGATGGTGAATTAGAATAGTACAAGAACATTACAGATACAACATGTGGAGGCACATTTATAAATAAGGATGATGATGAAATTTATAAATTATATAAAAATTTAAGTGAAAATTTAGTTAAATATGAATCTTTTGCTTTATATGATCACAAAAATAATGAAAATAAAAGAAGAATGTTTGAGATTCAAAATTGTGATTAATTAGACATTAGAAATGAAGTTAGTAAGGTTGATCAAAAGTTAAATATTTTATATGATCATTTGTTGCATAAAAATGAACCTACACAACCTACACAATATTTATATTCTATATGTTCATCATGTGGTAGGACTGATCATTATGAATCTCAATATCTAAATTTAGATCAAGAGCATACACATGCACTTCATGATCATAGGAATCAATCAAATCCTCAAAAAAATCAAAATAAAATTTCAAATTCTCAAAATCATGTTATGAATTCTTAATCAATGCCTAGATCTAATCATGCATTTAGACCTTCTGATCAACCACAATATAATGTTAAGCCTTTTTATCAATAAAATACTCATAATTTCCAGTAAAGTACTCATCAACCACTAGTCCATAGTTTCATCCATTCTTCCACAAGTTCAATCCCCAACTTGAGCCTAAAATATCTTAATTCATATCAAAATTAATATAATATAATTTCAATTTCGATGTACTAATTTATTGGGCAAATGATGTAATAATTTTAGGAAACAAATACATCTATGATGAAAATGATGGATAAATTAGACAAGAAAATTAGTAAACAATTCTTAGGATAGAAAAAGAGATAAGTAAGCTAGCCTTGGCCAATTCAAATGTGAAATAGGTTATCTTCTTAGTCAGCCCATCATAAACTGATGAAATTAGCCTTCTATTAACCATGAACTATCCACATCTCAAGTTTTGAAAATTTAGAAGTAGTGACCACTTTGAGGAGTGGAAAGCAACTCAAAGATCTTTATGTATCCATTTTTTTAGTAAAATAAATTCATGATAATAAAGTGTTAAATGATGATGATAATGATGATGATAGTTTATTTTATAATGATGAGAATTTAGAGAAAGAAAATTAAGAATCAAAGGAAGAAAAATTAGGAGTGGACATACCACCCATTCCCATTTTATCATAGCTAGATGAACTTAGAAAAATAGTCCAATTTCTAAGGTAAAACTTAAGAAAAGAGCTGAACCTAATGAAGAGTTTATGAAAATATTTTAAAAAGTTTATATCTCTATTCCTTTGGCAGATGTAATTAAATATATACCTGCATATGTAATTTTTTAAAAAGAATTAGGCACATCTCGTAGGTTACTGTAGAAGATATCTTTATCCAAAGAGGTTAGTGTCATTATTTCTCATTCTTTGCCTAAGAAATGTAGAGATCTAGGATCACCTCCTCTCATCTCATGTAAAGTGGGTGAAACTATATTTAGAAATGTGTTCTTAGATTTGGGAGTAAGTATTAATTTAATACCTTTGGCTATTTTTAAACATTTTAAATTAAGAGAACTAAAGTCAACTTTAGTAAAACTTTAGCTAGTTGATAGATCCATTAAAACACATAGGGGTCTTTTAGAAGGTGTCATCACCAATGTTAAAGGATGTTGATTTTTGGTAGATTTTTTGATTTTAGATATTTTTATTTTAGATAATTTTACTCATATTAGGATGTCCATTTCTTGACACAGTCAAGGCAAATATTGATTGTAAAAATATGATTATAAATGTGAAATCTGAAAGTTCAAAACATCTCTTTAAAATTTTTTGGAAGTTCAAGATTTTCACATGAAGATAATGATAATTATGAAGATATTGATGTAATTGATTCATGTATAGAGAAAATGAATTATGTTAAGCAAGTTGATCAATTAATTCTTCTATTCTATGTTCATGAATTATATCAAAATTATTAGATAATCTCCCAAGTTTAGAATTAAAACCTCTTTCTCATTTATTAAAATACATTTTTCTTGAATCAAATGAAATTTGACATGTGATTATCTCTATCTTATTGACTACTGAATAGGAAAAGAAAATATTAGAGGTTTTAAGAGAACATAAGAAAGCAATAGGGTGGACGATGACTGATCTCAAAGGGATCAGCTCATCAATTTGCATGCATAGAATATATACAAAAGATAATTCAAAACTATACAAGAAAATACAATGTAGGTTGAACCCAAACATGAAATAGGTGGTAAAGTAAGAATCATTAAATGATTAGATGCTGATATTATTTATCCTATTTCTAATAGTTAGTGGGTTAGCCCAACACAAGTAGTTCCAAACAAAATTGGATTGACAGTGATAAAAATAAAAAAAGGGAAAGAATTACAAACAAGACTCACCACTAGATGGAGAGTATGCGTTGATTACCACAAGCTTAATATAATGACAAAGAAAGATTATTTTCTTTTATCATTCATTGACTAAATTTTAGAAAGACTTGTAGGATAAAAATATTTCTATTTATTAGATGGATTTTTAAGATATAATCAAATAGTAATATTTTTAGAAGATCAAGATAAAATAACATTCACATGTTGACATGACATAGTCGTTGTATAGTAAATCACATAAATTTAAAAATTATAAAACTAGAAAATACTAATTTTTAGATATTTAGAAATATTTTTGAACCAATATATCAATTATAATTCAATAAAACTTTTAAAAAATAGTGGTAACTTTCTAAGCTGATCACAAGGATGTAATATAATATTGAATAATTTTTTATAATTTTTTTCAAATAATAAAGTTTTTTTTATAAATTTTGTATTAAGAAATAAAAATAAAATATATTTAAAATTCATAAAAAAAGGAAATAGAGTTTTGCCCGATGATTCTTATGTAAGCGATTATAGATGATTTAATTAATCAAATTAAGATTTGTAAAAGTCAAAAGAATCTTAATTAAAGGAAATATAGCTTGGTAAATTTAAATTACACAAATTATCACTAAATGAAGCAAAAATTAAGTTGAAAGTAGGAATCTTGAACGGCGGTGATGCATTAACAATACACTAGAATCCTAAACGTTCGAGAGGATTGTCGTGTAGTGTCCACGGCCTTGAAAGCTTTCCTTGGACAAGGATGATGTGAGTAATCTCTATATCTTTTTGAGAAGTCTAAAGATCAATAAAATAAGTCGTCAAATCATCTCCGACGGCTGCCACTTGGCAAAGTAGAAAAATAGCGACTTTGCAGTTCTTTAGCATCTATCACTCGAGGAAGAGGAGCTGGATGGAAGTGGGGCATGTCAAAGAGCTTCATCTTTAGGTCCACACAGCAAGAGGAGGCTCTTCATTACATCTGGTACACTCTCAAGAGGTGGCGACTCATCTCTTGATAGATCATCCTCTTTCTGACAATGACTTGTTCGTCAATCAATTGGAGATGATTTACTTGATAGATTTGTGATCTTTTTATTGCAAATCGTTCAACAATTTTAGTAATAATGCTCTATGAATCACATTGACGAGATTTTTGTTGATGATCTAATAATTTTGACGACTTAATTCTTCACCAACAATCTGTAGGAAAGTCATGATAATTAGATAAAAATACGAGTTTTAGCTTTGGGAGGATTTGAACATGTGCCAATTATCTACCTACATGAGAGAGATTGAAATAAGTACTTTAATGTTCTTATCAAGTGGCGTTATCATAGTATATCTTTGTTATAAATGAGGGGTATTTTAAATATTAAAATCTTCAAACCCTTTCAAGGGAGGGTGTGATGCGGATTTAGTCTCACATCGATTTGCGCCAAAGTTTCAAACGAGTATATAGTAATATTACATTTGCAAGCAATGAGTCTCTTTCTTTTGCGTGTGCGACCACTCCTTGCCCCACAATTGGTTAACCATTGGTGACGTGGAAGGAGAGTGGCGCACACGTGTCCCTATTGGTCCTAACCGCTCGAGCCGTTACTCATGGCTCCTCCCTCAATTACACTTT